GTCTCTGAAATTAACATTTTATTATATTTTATTGAATGTGTTTGCAGACATGCTGTATAATATAGCAGATAACTTCATGGTATGGTGTTATCTGATATGCAGATATCACGTCATGGCTGTTTCGGTCACATTGATGCACACAAATTAGCTACCATGATTGCCTACAAATACACAGTTGCTGCACCTCATATTAAATCCTGTGAAGTACTTTGAGATGTTCTGATGTGAAAGGCGATATATCAAATGCAAGGAAAATTTATAATACAACTAACTATTATGATAAAAAAATCTTAAGTCACACACATTTGTCAGAATATTGAAATTGCAGAATCATAGCACTAAGTTTGGTATTTCAAAGTAAATAGATGTTCTGAAATACATATTTTAATGAAATACTGGCTGTCAAAATACCTGGTGAATTTTGTAAAACTAACTTAACATTCTCCTATCTTTCAGATTTTCTACCATTCATTTGTGATGGATGCTCAGGAATTTTCTGGTACAGTTTCATTCATTAAAATACACTGCAAAATATATTCTACCGACAGAAAATTGACAAATAACTACATAAAGAGAATGATTCTGTTGATCCTTTCAACTTCTTACAATATATTTCAGTTTAATATACCACATAGTTCTACCTTTTTTGTTTAGCCTTGAACACAGAAGTAAAGATGCTCACGTTTGTTCTGGGGTAAGTTTTTGTAAATTAAACATTCAAATCTCTCATTTAACCTTTTGCTGGACAAGTATGAGTTACACTCAGATCACATCCCTGTATTTGCCATTGTCATCTCTGTACTGTCATTTGCAATGTGTGTCTGTAATCTGGTTTAAGAGAGGACATGCTACAGAGGTGTTGATGATCTACTGCTTGTGTAGGGAGGGGCTGAGGAGGCCAATGATCAGGGTGTTGGATAATTGAGTCTGGACATTATGAAGGCATGGATGAGAGTCTTGGCAGACCACATTTATGTAGGTCCTGGTGGGGCAAGTAAAGCAACATGCCTAAGAATAGGTTACCTGTTTCCCTGTGAGTTGAAAATTGTCGCATCATGTGGAAATCCAAAGACAGGATTTTTTTTTTTAAATGTTGTCGCGTGAGATAATATTATAAGTAATTTTTACATTTGATATAGTGCCTTATCACCTCATTGAGACATCTCAAAGTGCTTCACATGATGTATTGTAAAGTGGATTGACTTTGTATTTTGTGGGCGAATTGCAGTATCCAGTTTTGCACACAGCATATCCCACAGTGAGTGACAATTTTATTTGGAAAATTTATTAGCCAGGACTCCGGGAGAAACTCCCTTCTCTTTTTGAATAGTGCTGTGGGATCTTTAACGCTTCTCATCCAAAGGACGGCACGTGCGACAATGAACACATCATCCCTATCACTGCATTGGAGGATAATTGAGCATATGTGATTCCATGTCCCGACGTGGGACTTGAACGCACAACCTTCTGACTCTGAGGCGAGAGTGCTACCAGACTGGCACACTGTGAGATGAAAATTGCATGTGAAAGTCAACAGCTCTATTCCCTTATTTGAACAATACAAATCTTAATGACAAAATTGAGTTAGTTAAGCTCTTATATAACACTTGTATAAACTCTTCTAGAAATGTTGCTGCTGTGAATTATAATTTGTGTAACTTGTTCAAGTGCAGCAACTGGTATTGTTTTCCTCTTCTACTGAGCTACACCTTCCGTGATTAATGCATAGTTCTTTTCAGTCATTCACATTGCTTGTATCTTCCTCTGTTATGCACACGTTGTCCATGATCTATGATCGTCTTGCATAGTTTTAAAGAAAAAATACATTCTTAAATAATTTAATTTGCAGGCAGCTTACAAGCTATAATGGACCCAACCTCTGGTGTTAGTCCGGCCAAATTTTTCTATGATATACTATTTAGTATTTTTTTTTCATTTTCAGATATGCATAAAAAAAGAACCAATAAAATTGGAAGGACCCTCATCATACAGCTGCACCTATAAGAATTGTAATGCAAAAGAACCCTTACCAGTTATTTGCCCTTATTGTGAAAAGCACTTTTGTCTAGGGTGAGTATCAGGATAATTGTGTAAGATGAATCTTGAAGACTGTGGTATTAGAGATTTATTATTGAGTGTGTTGGTGCTTTTGTTGTAGGCATCGACACCAGTCAGACCATGACTGTGAAAAGCTGGAGGTGCCAAAGCCACGCCTGGCTGTCACGAAGCAACCAGTAAAAGAAACTGTGGGCAAGTGCTGTATTCCTTTGCAAGAGCTGCAAAGTGTTCTTACATTTTATATTATCCTTTGTGACTAAGCTCATTATTGATTTATTTAATTCAATTTAGATCTGCCCAAACTGTTGCATACTTCATAACAACTAAGAAAAGCCCAAGAAATGCTGCATTAGTCTAGCTGAATCTCTCTCTCTCTCTCTTTCTATGTGTGTGTATATATATATAGTATACATATATATCTGTGCATGTTCACATTATGCTTTGTACATTAATAATCCTTACATTTGGTATAGAGCCGTTCACGTCGATAGGATGTTCCAAAGCACTTCCCAGAGTATACTGTAAAGTATTGTGACTGTATTTTGTGGGCAAATGCAACAGCCAATTTGTGTAGAGCAGTGTCCCACAGACAGCTAGGAAGTGAATGACCAGTTTTATTTGGGGGATTGTTGGCTTGAACACAGGGAAGAACTCCCTTCTTTCATTGAATATTGCCATGGGACCTTTAACATCCACATGAACAGGTAGACCAGGCCTCGATTTAACATCTCATCCGAAGGACGGCAATAATGCAGCACAGACCCAGCACTGCATTGGAGTGCCAGTTTATATGAGTTCCAAGTCCTGGCGTGGAGCTTGAACCCACAACCTTCTGACTCAGAGGCAAGAATGTTACCAACTGAGCCACAATAACACAGACCAGCCTGTATACAAATGTGCAATTACTACATTTAACAGCAATTTCCTGTGAAACGCTTTGAAACATTTCCACTGTTTAGTTACTGTATCAAAGTAACTTTGAAGGAATGCTGCATTGCCTGACCAAAGAGTTGGGATGTGGATGTGATCCTGAACTATCTCTGTCAACTATCTCTGTGTAGTCAGTGAGATGGGCACCCTTTGCAGAATTACATCCCAAATCTCCTAGTTAAGATCTGAGGCTTTGCTCAAAAAAAATACAATTCCCCTTATTGTACAGTGTACTGAAACTGATGCATTGAGCTGTTTATTTGGTTATGTTTGCTGCAGTATTTTATTAATTTATACAATAAGGGTCAGATGTACTTGTTCTCTGGATATAGGTAATAGAAAATTGTTTTGTCTGTGCTAAGGTGGCAGGTAAATTGTTAATTCAGCTTTAGCTGTATTGTATTTTGTTGAATAAACAGAATACAATGTTGAATATTCCATGAACAGAACTGTTTTGGCAGAATCTAGGAAAGCAGTCCCAGTGAAGAAAGGAAGAGGAGGAGCAAAGAACAGTGAAACTGCTGCAAAAGTGGCACTAATGAAGCTGAAGCTGCATGCCGTTGGAGAAAAGTCCATTCCACAGGTTAATAACAATTTATTTTAAAATGAAGTTTCATTCAAGGCATATTGGTGCGACAAAACACACCAATATGTTTCCCAGATTCAAGCATATTGCATCTAAATCTCTTAATATAAATTAAGGTTAACAACAACAACAAAATTGCATTTGTAAAGCGCCTTTCACATCGGGAGAACGTCCCAAGGCACTAGACAGACAGAGTTATGGACCCAAGCTGAGGGTCGTGGTGGGAGAGGGGAAGGCCCGCCCGCTGATAGTGGGGCAAGCAAGGCGGGGGACATGAAGCAGGCGGAGCCCGCTGAGCGGAGGGAGCGAACAGGGTGTTAGTGGGTTAGGAGATTGGAGAGGTAGGGGGGAGCAGGACCGTGGAGGGCTTTGAAAGTGAGGACAAGGATCTTGAACTGTATCCTCTGTGTGATGGGAAGCCAGTGGAGTTGGGCGAGGATGAGGGTGATAGGGTCGTGGAGCCTAGTGCGGGAGAGGACATGGGCTGCAGAGTTCTGAATGATCTGCAGCCTATGGAGGGAGGAGTTGGGGGGGACCACCAAGCAGTGAGTTTACATAGTCGAGCCTCGATGTAATGAAGGAGCGTATGAGGGTTTCATCGCCCTGCGGTGTGAGACAGTGGTGGAGCCGGGCGACGTTGCGGAGGTGGGGGAAGGCAGAGCGGGTCATGGCGCAGATGTGAGTCAGAAAGTATAATTGAGGGTCAAACAAGACTCCAAGGTTCTGGACTGGCTCAGTGAGGTGGAGTGTACAACCATGGATGGTGATGCTGTTAGAGCCTGAGGTGTGGAGGCGCTGACGGGAGCCAATCAGGAGGGCCTCGGTCTTGTTGACGTTCAACAAAAGAAAGTTACCTCTCATCCAGGGCTTGATGTCTGACAGACATTCTGTCAGCACAGCAGTAGTCCTGGAGTCGAGGGTGGAGGCAGAGAGGTAGAGTTGGGTGTCATTTGCATATATGTAGAAGTCGATCCCATGTATGCGGATGATGTCACCAAGATGGAGCATATAGATATTGAAGAGGAGGGGACCAAGGACAGAGGCCTGAGGAACGCCGCACAAGACAGTCCAGGAACTAGAGGAAAAGCTGTTTGAGGAGAATAAGTGCAAGCAGTGTGAGAGATTTGATCTGAACCAATCAAGGATAGCGCCGTGGAGGTTGAGGTGAGAGGAGAGGCGGTAAATGAGGATAGAGTGGTCGACGGTGTTGAAAGCAGCAGACATGTCAAGGATGCCGAGGAGGCAGAGGGAACCCTGGTTGCAGATGGACAGAATGTCATTTGTTATTTTGACCAAAGCTGTTTCTGTGCTGTGGGCGGCACCGGAACCCGATTGGAGGAGTTCGAGAAGGGAGTGGTGGGAGAGGAAGGAGTGAAGCTGAGAAGCAACAACGCGTCCAGGACTTTGCAGAGGAAAGGGAGGTTGGAGATGGCGCAGTGGTTAGGGAGTAGAGAAGGGTCCAGGAAGTGTTTTTGTTAAGGATATGAGTGATGACGGCGGTTTTTAATGGGGTGGGAACAGTACCAGAGGACAGGGAGAGGTTAACGATGTCAGTGAGTAGAGGGGCAAGTAGGTGGAGCTGGGAGGTAAGAAGTGGGATAGGGATGGGGTCGAGGGAGCAGGTGGTGAGTTTCATACGGGATTAAGAATTCTGTATTATTAAGTTTCACTCCACGTGGTGCTCATTACACGTGGTGTTAGCATTACAAGCCTGAGCTAACACCTCCAAGCAGTTCAAGTCAGAGCGTAGCTGTAAAAGCAGCCAATTGTACAGTTGACATTATCAACGCGTGAAGCAAACAGTGGCAACTGCATTTTTTTTCATAAGTACCCCATGTTTGAATTTAAGGCCTGCCTGATACTTTGATTCACTTGTCTGCAAGTTTTCATCGTGCTCACCTCACTCTTCTGTAAGAGTTGCATGGCTTAAGAGGGAGGCATGTTTGAGGAGCAAAAATGAGGAACACTAAGTTTGAGCAATGCTTGTTATCAGATCCAAATGATGGATTAGATTCTCAGGTAAGAAATGTTGTGATATTTTACCTACTAAAATCTTTTAGGTTTTACCTACTTAAATCTTTTAGGAAACAAAGCAATATTTTAATGGAAGAGATTTATCCAAAGATGTTATGGCTTCATGGTACTAAATCAGCACAAAGCAAGGAAGTTACATATTCCGTATCATATATTTTAAGAAACCACTCTTTGGAAGCCTGCAGAGAATGCCTTTTGGATTTCTGACTTTTTGTTTCACACAAAGCAGATCATCATTGAAATTAAATTGTTTCTTGTAGAATGAACGAGTGTATTTTCAAGTTTTTTTGCCAAGAGGAAGCAACGAGAAAAGCAGAGCAGTGTTCTTCTGTTCCAAATGGAATATTGGAAAAGTGGTGGATTCTGCTGCAGCACTAATGAACGTTAGAAATGACAACAATATTTCCACAGCTAAGGTAACAACGGTTGACACAATATAAAACTTTTACACATACATTCTATACATGGTAATAATCCCTCAAGAAAAAAAAACAATTTATATTGGTTGCTTCAATCCATGACTGTTTGTGGAACACTGCTATGCGCAATTGGCATTGTGGGCATTTCGCCCACAAATATACAGTTAATTCTTTGAAGCGCTTTGAGTCGTCTAGAAGACATGAAAAGTGCTATATCAAATGCAAGGATTATTATTATTATAGACAGCTTAGTTTTATTGATGTTTCATCTGCAGCTTCTATTAGTTATTTAAGCAGGACCTGATGGGTTAGCTTGTTTAGAGGTACTGCAAATATTTGCCCACAGACTCGATTTTATATTATTTAGGTAGTAAAAGTAAGAATAAATGATGGTAAAATGTGTTGGACGACAAATAATGTATAATGGTAGGATGCTGGTTCAGTTTTCCAGTCTCCAACAAATTCTAATTTCCATTTGGCTACTGAAAGTTGGTGTTTAGCAGAGAAGAGTGAAAAGAATGCCATAAGCATCTTCACTGGACTGCTCATGTTTCTTTACAGTGAGTCCCAATAAGAATTGCATTTGATAAGTGGCCTAGGAGCAAGCTGTTCACTGCACCCTTTAAAAAAGACTATGTATAGGCTTAGGGCTTGGACTGTTTCATAAGGAGCGGGAACCAGTGATTAAAAAGGATAGTATAACCTTGAAAAAGCAGGATAAATTTTGGTTGGCTAAAACGCAGATTGTGACAGTGCTTGTTCAACAATGACAACAAAATCGTACTTTTTTTGTTCATTATTGTCCAACGAGATTTGGGGTATTTCTTCCAGAAACTAAGACTGTATCACAGCGAATCAGGAAGCCTATTGCCCATGGACAACACTTTGGAATCGTATCTAAAGAATACTGACAGCGCCCTGTACAATGGAGGAAATATTATTCTTGAATATATGGACAATAATAACACAGTATTAGAAAACACCAACTCGTATATGGAATGACAATTGGTGTATTGTATAATCTGTTCAGAAATGTTTGTATAAATAGAATCCCTTTTGTACTACCAATTGTTTTGTGTCTTTTTACTGGAACTTAATTTGGGAACCCTAAAGGTATGTTCAAGAATACTTGTCTCAAGGGTAATTGTTTAGCTGAAGATGAACTAGTCACATTTCAACAACAACAACTTGCACTTCTATAGTACTCACCATGCAGGATAGTGTCTCAGAGCGCTTTTCACATGAATAAAATTGATTCAACCAACATTTCTGTGCTAACACTCAAGGTTACTCTTATGACTCCATGCCAGATCACACAGTGTTTTTTCAACTATGTGGGGCCAAACTGGCTCCAAGATGATGTGCTTGGCAACATAATGTTGGAATCGAGTCAGTCATCTGTGGCAGTCCTAGTAGTCCAGTTCCTGAGCCAGATGGGTCTGCAGTTGTCCATGGCATTGCTTATGTCAGACCAACCAGCGCAGCTCATTGGTAGGATTTTGAGGGGCATACGTGTCACTGGGGGCACTCACACTCAGCTCATGTTAATCCTTCAAGCCAAAGCTTTAACGGGTAGGGTGGTCCTAGCTGGACAAGTGGCGGAAAGCTTTCCATATTGTGCTTCCACTGGCAAGCTTTGCTTTCTTACCTGATTGAACTCCAGCAGTACCCTATCATATACTCTGGGGTCCCCAAGCCTTGGCTCATGCCAACTGCACCTAATTAGGTATGTAGGGTATGTCCCTCCAGGGAGAGAGAGTATATTTCATTCCATACATGGGAATTTCCATGTTCGGAATGGAAACATTTGGTTGAACGATTAATTTTTTTAGAGAGATTATTACCCCCAGAAAGCGATTCACTAATTGACTTAACAACTGGGTTCCTACTTACTGCTAAACAAACAGTGGCGTGTGGAGTAAGGTAACTTGCCTAATGTAAATGTATTAAAATGTAACATGCATAAAAGAAAGTGTAAATTATGCAAATTGTACCTCCAATCTCTTCCAACACCCCCCACCCTCCAACTCAAGAGGAATGTTGTTTCAGCCCTGAGAACCCTTTGGTGGTTTTGTATTGTAATAATAATAATAATAATAATCCTTGCATTTGATATAGCGCTTTTCACGTCGGGAGGACGTCCCAAAGCGCTTCACAGAACACACTGTAAAGTGAATTGACTGTATATTTGTGGGCGAACGCGGCAGCCAATTGCGCACAGCAATGTCCCACAAACAGTCGTAGATTGAAAATGACCAATTTATTATTGTTTTTGGTTTTGGAGGGATTATTATTAGGCGTGTGGAGTAAGGAAACTTGCCCAAGGTTTCGCCCTGCCTGGAATCCCAGTTAACATAGTCAGGTTTTGATTGTATTTGTTTTGTTCTGGTGCACTGCAACAGATTCTGTTAATGTTCTCCAGAGAGGAGTCTCTGGTAACCTTGGTTTACCGTCACGTTACTGTTTTACTTACAGCACCAATTCCGTGTAAAAATCAACTCAGATCAGAAATTATTGTCTGGTTGGCTGTTTGGTTGGTTGGTTGTTTTTTTTTGTGGAGGGTGTGTGAAACACTCAAAATGTAACCCAGCCTGCTGAAGAGGAATTTGAGTTTGTTTCAGTGCCTGAGGGGCGTTGTGTTTGATTTACTGTGCCACAGGATAAGGAAGTCGATACACGAAAGAGTCAGATCTAAACCGAAATGAGTTTGCAGGCAAGTTCTGAACATTTTTTGAGTCGCCAATAAGGAAATAACAAGCATTTTAAGCGATCCATCAACCGACAATTGTCACTCTCTACAGCCAGAATGGATTTGTTATTTAATTGCCAAAGGAAGCCCCTGGATTAATAGATAACCTTGTAAAGTTCAGCTCCATTTGGAAGTTTTCCTCTCTCTCTCTCTCTCTCTGTGTGTTGTCTGTGGATGAATTAATCGGATCCGGCTTTCGAGACACACATCAGGAAGTGCTGAGACTCAACAGGTTGTCCTGACAGTAAAACCTAACCCAATTCGGTGCGTAGAACAGGAATAAAGCAGAGAGTTCAGGAAGTTTGAGGCTGCTACAGCTCAGAAAGTGTGGAAGCAGAGATTGTGAAGGAGTGAGTGTGTGGTGTATTGGCCATATGGTGAGCAGCACAGAATGAGGCACATCCCCCATGTGGTTTGGGTCTTGTCACTGACAGTGATGCTCTCCGACAGATTCTCCATGACATTTCTGAGCGTGGATTTTAACAAGGACCTTACATTAGTGAAGAAGGCAGAAGTTGGATCTCGCGTTCCCTCCGCATCCGGGAAGAGCTATTCCAGAGGGAAGAGGAGGCTTTCCGTCATCTCTGGCAACCCCGAGATTGTGGAGGTGATAACAAATGTCACAATAGGGTCAGGTCGGGTCCCTCTCACTCTTTCTGTTCAGGCTGGAGAGGTAGGAGAGAGCAAGAACAGCCTGGACATTCAGCTCTGGGAGTCACTGGGCAACAGACTGACCAGACTGGTTGACCTTAAAGGTGATGTCCAGGTTCAAAAGCTTCCAGATGAGCGACAACCATCACCACTTCTCACCGCTGACCCTCTGATGTACTTGCTTCTCCTGTTGGTTTTGTTGAATAAATGTGCTTTCGGGTGCAAGATCGATTTGGAAATCTTAGGCAACCTCTGGAAGCAGCCCCGACCTGTTATCATTGGAGTTGCTGTGCAGTTCGTGTGGATGCCATTCTATGGTTTTCTTCTGACCAGACTGGTTCAGTTGAATCAAGTCTTGTCTCTGGGCTTTATTATGGCTTGCTCTTGCCCTAGTGGAGGCGGGGGCTATCTCTACGCTTTATTTCTCGATGCAGATGTGACCTTGGCTATTTCCATGACCTTCATATCTACAGTTCTGGCTGTCGTTCTGATGCCGGTGTCTTTTTCAATATACAGTTTCATGCTCGGTGCATCAAACAATCTACATATCCCATATTTGATAATTGGATCTACCCTCCTTTCTATTGCGTTGCCTATATCTTTTGGAATATTCTTAAAACAGAGAATGCCCAATGTCGCCAAGACTGTTGAAAGAATAATACGACCATTCAGTGTAATTATCATCACAGGAGGCTTTTATCTTGGATTCAAAATGGGATTGACTTTCTTACAGAATGCTGACCTCAAGCTATGTTTACTTGGATTGTTAGTGCCACCATTTGGCCTCTCTATTGGATACTTATTTGCTGGTGTATTCAAGCTCGCGTTTCCAGTGCGTAAAACTGTAGCAATAGAAAGTGGAGTGCAGAATACCTTATTGGCGCTGGCAATACTCCAATTTTCTTTTTCTCAACCGGAAGCTAATTTAAGCTCCGCAGCTCCCTTTGTTGTAGCTATCAGTGCAGCCTGTGAGATGATATTGCTATCCTTGGTTTACACCTGCAGGAAAAGATATTATAACAATGAATGGTTGCCTCTATGATATCTCTTTCCAAAAGGACTAAATGCTCATTGAGTGTTTTATTCTCATACAGTCAGTATCCGTAATTATTAGAAACGACCCTCTTCAGATATCAGTTTATTCAAATGATGTAAATTTTATGCTTATCATGTATAAATGCAAGTTGTGCCTGTTGTTATCACGGTGGGAGATGGTTGTAATGTTTTCAGTTTAATCCATCAAACAACTCACAAAATTCAGATTATAATCTGATTACAATGTTTTGATTAATTGGTCATAAAATAGCACCGATACAAGTCTCTTGAAAGGATTAAGTGCCATTAATATAGGAATAAGTTAAATGGTTGATTTTTTTCCAATAAAAAAGTATTTTTTCCAAGGAGTTCATTGCTACATTATTCATTGATATTGCAGAACATGACAATATGACTAATATTTCTTCTAACTCTATAATAATAATCCTTGCATTTATATAGTGCCGTATCATGTCTTTGAGACGTCTCAAAAGTGCTTCACAGAATATATTATAAAGTAAATTGACTATATTTTGTGGGCGAACGGCGACAGCCAATTGCGCACAGCAGTGTCCCACAAACAGTCGTGGATTGAGTGACCAATTTATTTATTTCGAGGGGAAAGGAGAGGAGGGGAGGGGAGGAGGGAGAGGGGGAGAGTGGAGGGGGAGGGGAGGAGGGAGAGGGGGGAGAGTGGAGGGGAGGGGAGGAGGGAGAGGGGGGAGAGTGGAGGGGGAAGGGAGGAGGGAGAGGGGGAGAGGAAGGGAGGGGGAAAGGGTGGAAGGGGAGGGGGGAGAGGAGGGAAGGGAGGGAGATGAGAGGGGAGGAGGGGGAGGGGGGAGAGGAGGAGGGAGGGGGGGAGGGGGGGGGGGGGAGGAGGAGGGGGAGGGGAGAGGAAGGGAGGGGGATGGGGAGAGGAGGGGGGAGGAGGGAAAGGAAGGCGAGGGAGGAGGGGTGAGGAGGAGAGGAAGGGAGGAGGGGGGGTAGGAGGTGGGAGGGGAGGAGGGGTGAGGGGGGAGGGGAGGGGCGGGGGGGGGCAGTGACTGGCGGGTGAGGGGAGGGGGGAGGGGGGAGGGAGGGGGAGGGGAGGGGTGAGGGGTGAGGGGGGAGGGAGGGTAGGAGGTGGGAGGGGGAGGGGGGTGAGGGGGGAGGGGAGAGGAGGGGGGGGGGAGTGGGGAGGGAGGGGGGGAGGGGGAGGGGAGGAGGGGTGAGGTGAGGGGGAGGGGGGGGGTGAGGGGGGAGGGGAGGGGGGGGGGGGCAGTGACTGGCGGGTGAGGAGGGGGAGGGGGGGTGGGGGGGTCAGTGATGGCGGGGGAGGGGTGAGGGGGGGGGGGGAGGGGGGGGAGGGGGGGGGGGGGGGGGGAGGGGGGAGGGGGGGGGCAGTGACTGGCGGGTGGGAGGGGGGGGGAGGGGTGAGGGGGGAGGGGAGGAGGGGGTGAGGTGAGGGGGGGGGGGAGGGGGGAGTGGCTCTCAGGGACCGTCATCTCCTGCGGTTTCTGGAAGGAAACGACAAAGGAGCGAATTAGAGACGGTCCCCGCGCTGTGCGCATGTGCGGTGCGGTGCGTCACTACAGGTCACGGAAGTGGGTGAAGCTGAGTCCACAGAGAGGAGAGAGATTCCCAACACAGAGAGGAGAGAGATTCCCAACACAGAGAGGAGAGAGATTCCCAACACAGAGAGGAGAGAGATTCCCAACACAGGGAGGAGAGAGATTCCCAGGACAGAGGGTGAGAGATTCCCAACACAGGGAGGAGAGAGATTCCCAACACAGGGAGGAGAGAGATTCCCAGGACAGAGGGTGAGAGATTCCCACAGAGGGTGGGATATTCCCAGGACAGAGGGTGGGATATTCCCAGGACAGAGGGTGAGAGATTCCCAGGACAGAGGGTGGGATATTCCCAGGACAGAGGGTGAGAGATTCCCAGGACAGAGGGTGGGATATTCCCAGGACAGAGGGTGGGATATTTCCAGGACAGAGGGTGGGATATTCCCAGGACAGAGGGTGGGATATTCCCAGGACAGAGGGTGGGATATTCCCAGGACAGGGAGGAGAGATTCCTGGGGTGGGGGATATATCTGGGGGGTGGGGGTGGGGGGGAGAGAGAGATTACTGGGGTCAGGTATTCCCAGGACAGGGGCACCACACAGTTCTTTTTAAAGCCCTTCACGGTCTTGCTCTCCCCCCCAACCCCCCCCCCCTCCACTCCCCCCAACCTCTGCAACCTCCTAACCCCCTACCAACCCGCTCGCTCCCTCTGCTCAGTGGGCTCCGGTCTGCTTCCGGTCCCCCGCCTCACTCGCCCCACCATTGGCGGGTGGGCCTTCCGACACTCTGGCCCCACCCTCTGGAACTCCATCCCGCAGCCCCTCCGCCTCACCCCTTCTCTTTGCCTCCGACAAGACCCATCTCAAGACCCTCCCCTCTGATCGCGCTTTCGACCTCACTGCTTCCCCCGCCGCTGCCCTCCATCCTTCCCGAACCTGACCCCCAGCTCTGGTCCAAAACTCTGTCCGGCGCCTTGGGACTTCCTCCCGCCGTGAAAGGTGCTTTACAAATGTAATTTTGTTGTTGTTGTTGTAGTATTTTTAGACGAGTGCTCACGTTTGGAAGATGACAGATGTTAAATGTGGAGATGATCCATGGCAAGAGTGTCTGGAGGCCGGAGTAGCTGTTGCTCGGCAGGCTGGCGAGGTGAGGAAAATTCGTAAAGAGATTTGTTTTTCAATCTGTAACTTGTAGTTTTTCTTCGTTCAACTGGGGGCAGGGATTCTTTCACCTCTGTAGTAATAATAATTAATAATAATCCTTGCATTTGATATAGTGCCTTATGTAATTGAGACGTCTCAAAGCGCTTCACAGGATATACTGTAAAGTGAATTGACTGTATATTTAGTGGGCAAAATGTGGCAGTCAATTGCACACGGCAGTGTCCCACAAACAAACTCCAACACTGTTAAGTGCTATGAGAAGCTACCCCCTTCAAGTGATGGAGCTGGAAGGACATTATAATAATAATAATAAATTGGTCACTATAATCCACGTCTGTTTGTGGGACACTGCTGTGCAAAATTGGCTGCCGCGTTTCTCCCACAAAATATTCAGTCAATTCACTTTATAGTATATTCTGTGAAGCACTTTGAGACATCTAGAAGATGTGATAAGGCGCTATATCAAATGCAAGGATTATTATTATATAAATGCAAGTTGTTGTTGATCCTGCAGGTAATCCGTGAAGCCTTGAAGACTGAACAGTCAGTAATGCTTAAAAGTTCTCCTGCAGATCTGGTGACTGAGACAGATCAAAAAGTAGAAAAAATGATTATAAATACCTTGAAGAAAAAATTTCCTTCTCACAGGTAAATGATGTACTTGCAACATATTGCAAAGATGATGTATTAGGTGTGATTCTGTAAACCTGTACCTCATCTACACAATTATTCTCACTATAGCTTTGTTGGGAAGTTCCTTACCATGTAGTAAGATTTGCTATATTCCGAGAAGGTTAAATTAAATGGTTATATAATAGCCAGTTTTTCTTCTGGTGTGGTATATTTATTACCTATTTGAGCTGGAAAAAAAAGAAACTGAACCATAGAAATTTGGAGCACAGAAGGTATTCAGCCCATCCTGTCTATTAAGAACAATCCTTTCAGACCCATTTACCTGCCGTTCTCCATATCGCTGTATAGGGAAAGTTTAATAAAGATGCATTTATTTCAGAACTATTCCCTTAGGGAACATAATGCAGACAGAACTTCATTTTCGTCAAAGCTTTTGCTGTTTGCTTTGGAATCCACATAACCTTGAAACAGCAAAATGTATTCCAGTTTGTTGCATTTTCTATGCGAAATTGGTGTACAGAATGTTGTAGCAGCACATATTTAAAATATTTCAGATTATGCTGAGTTAAAAAAAAGTCACAGATGGTTCATTTGAATGCTTTAATGTCTTTATTTCCCCCCCAGTTTTATTGGTGAAGAGTCTGTTGCAGATGGAGCACAAAGTGTATTAACAGATAATCCCACTTGGATCATCGATCCCATTGATGGCACAACTAATTTTGTCCACAGGTATGATTGTTATTGGTACCAGGGGAGGAGAAATTCAAAGTTTCTGGGAGAACTGATGAAGGTAACTTATTATACATTGTTTCCTGTCCTCACTCTAATTTTCCCAGCTTCTCTCCTTGAAGGAGCAAATTCCTGGTGGGATGTAGTTCTGTCAGTGATGGGCATCCTCTGGTACATTACCTGTATGGCAACATGTGACCTTAGTCAGCTAGTGTTGGCAGATGATTTCATTATGGGATCCATTCCTATCTTCAGCTGAAATTTCATCCATACAAGTAAGTTCCAGCAGCCAATAGGACTTACTGTTTAGTGATCAGAAGTGATCACTGCCTTCTCTGTAGCCGAGGGTGACTAAAGCTAATTGCACTACCAATCTAATAAGATTAGATACCTTATCACGGGCGAGGGGATTGAGCATGAGACCATGCAGATCTTTCACATTCACTCCAGGACAATTGCTTCATCGATTGAGCCATTGGATGAGTTACGTTCACTTTATAACATTAGGTAGCGGATTTGTTTTGTGGTGTGCATCGATGGGGAGGGGGTTGGATATTTCTGGACTAATTTCTTTCGAGCGCTAATGCTTCTAAGTTTTCTTAATTGAGTACAGTATTATCAGACAAATGTGGCTTTTTTCTAACTGGCCCAATTTTTTTTTTCAGGCTTCCCTTTGTGGCAGTTTCTATCGGCTTTACTGTAAACAAACAGGTAATTAAAATATTCTGCATTCTGTGCCATTTGAGTCTTTTTCCTTGAATACTTTACGTGTATTACAGAATCAGCAGGAAATTTTGTAGACGAAATGTTTTGCCTAATATGCGTAAATTAATAAATGAATGTTGCTGGGAAGAAGTCCTTAGTATGATGGGAATAGAAAGTTGAAATAACATTAAGTTATTGTATATCTAGGCTAAGTGTGATGTTAAAAGCACAAAGTGACAGCTTAGGTCTTGAAAATTTAAGTTTCTCGACCTTTTTGAATTTGGATGAAAATCCACAGGAATCTGTTTAACCAGCTATTTAAAGCGTGTTTGGAGAACATTTCTGACATAGCATACCAGCCCCATGTCTACCAAAAATAATAACCTTGGTAGAAAGGTGACCTCTGTGTGTTTTCACCCACTCCCACTGGATACCTGACATTTTGGATCTTTCCCTCACACAAGAGTTGCTGTGTAAACAAACCTTACCCATGCTGGTCTGAAACACCAACATTCCTGAGCTGTGAACCATCTTTGTCACATAGATACACTTTAGGCTTTTATTGACATTCAGGCCAGTCCCAGGTGGTTTGAATTGCTGATGACTTGAAGTTGAACTTGGGATGTGCCAGTATGTGGAAGCCCAGTCCCTCTAATCAGCAATTGAAAGTCATGATGTGCAAGCCAGAAGAAGAATATATAAACTGGCTTCAGGAGTTTGGTATTGAGACCTATGCTCCATGATCGAGGGAGAGCGGTGGAGATCTGATTTTCACATATCTGGGTTATTCATATTCAAGGTGTCAGGCTGGCTCTCGCCTGTGAGTCACAAGGTTGTGGGTTCAAACCCCGTTTTGGGACACTCCAATGCAGAGTGCTGCATTGCTGGAGGTTGCAGTCCTTTGAGTCGACGTTAAACTGGGGTCCTGTCCCTGTTCAGGTGAACATTAATTTTTTCATGGCACTACTCAAAAGAGAAGGGAATTTCTCCTGGCCAACAGCCCCAAATAAAAACTGGACATTCACTTCAACCCTGATTGTGGGTTATTGTGTGCAAATTGGCTGCTAATGTGTGCAGAGCAATCACCAGTTTTATTGCGGGGGAGAATTGTTGGTTATGAATGGCCTCCTCCTGTTCTTATTTTCCTATGTTCTTAAATGCAGACTATAAATATCAATCAATATTAGGATTTGATTTTGTGGGATCTAGAGTTATGTGCTGCTAGAGGTGCCAAACTATTGACTGTGTCCAATTTTTTTAAAAAAGGTAACTTCTTCTATTTAGTACAAAGTTTTTTAAAACAGATCCATGCTGCATATTATGTCTAAACTCCACTCTGAGGTTTGGTCTGGCCTAATTCAACAATATTGAAGCTAACATAATAAGCTGTTCATTTACATTTTATTTCATGCTGCAGATTGAGGTTGGTGTTGTGTACAGCTGTGTAGAGGACAAGATGTACACTGCTAGAAGAGGCCAAGGTGCATTCTTGAATGGACAGCGATTAAAAGTGTCTGGACAGGAAGGTATGACTGAGAGGCAATACTTGTTTTCTGGGTGGGGAAAGGAGAGAGACACACACATACAAGTTGTGCCACGACGCACCTACAGTCAATAATAATAAAAATAAGCGTTGCGTTTGATATAGCGCCTTATCATGTCTTCGAGACGTCTCAAAGCGCTTCACAGAATATACTGTAAAGTGAATTGACAGTATATTTTGTGGGTGTGTATATATTTTGTATATTTTGTGGGCTAAATCTTTTCAGCAGCAAGTTAAATAAATATATCTTGCCTTTTTATGTAAGGGATCGATGGTGCATGATTCATTAGCCCGTCTCTTAATGAGCCTTGGAGATGAAGGCCAAAACTCCAATGGAAAGTGAGGTCCAAGAAATGTATTTACAGCGCACGCGAAGGCCATTCAGACTAGTGACCGCCATGCCTCTTAAAAGCAAAATCTCTTCAGTCCAACTTTCCCAAGCCCTCGCCACCTATACCCATACAGTTGACTCCCTTTTATATATTTATCAAGTTTCCTTTTAAAAACTACTTTGGATTCTTCGTCAACCAACGCTCCCAGGAGGCATTCCATATCCTAACTGTGTGTGAAAAAATTCTCCTAACCTCCCCATTTGCTTGTTTGCTAATTAAAATTAATACCTTCTAATGCCTTGTCTTAGCTGGATAAGATTTGAGCTGTGTCACTGTCATTCTTCCTTCATAGTATGGTGAAATACTCCTCAGGACACAATGATTTTGGTATTCCTAAATTTTCATTCATTTAGGTAGACAGCTTTTGAAATCACACTGGTTTATGTGACTTCATTTTTTTTGCCTCGGGAGATATTATCAATCAAAAATTGCCCATCTAGTTCGGACAACAAGTTTTACTGAAGTGTAAATTTGTGCTAAACTAAAATTGTAATTTAAGTATTTTCTTTAGATTCTCTCTTAATTTTTTTTACAGATATAAGCAAAGCTCTTATAGTGACTGAGCTGGGATCCAGTCGCACCCCTGAGGTGCTGAAAATTGTCCTTTCAAACATGGAGAAACTGATCAATATTCCCTGTCATGGGTAAGTGCAAACATCTATAAATGGCAGGTTATGAAATTGATTTTCATGTTTTGTACGTATTCTCCCATTGATACTGATAATGTTTAATAACTTTGCAATAAAGCATCTAGAGATTACTACAACTAAATATAATGTATAGCACAGCAACTTGCATTTACATAGCATCCTTCACTCATTTTGTGCAATAAAAGTTACACTTTTCCAGGATTTTGTTTCTTACATTTTTACGTTAGTTTATTTCCCGCACCAGTCTGCTATCTCACACCAACACTTGTTTGTTCACCACAATATATTCCTTTCATTCTTCATCTTGGGCCTTGCTTGGTAAATATAATTACCCTTGGATTGATGAACATATGTTTCAATGAAATGATATGGGCTCTTGTTGAACTGGACTGCTCTGTAACCTGTTATTTGTGAATCTTGTTTCAGAATTCGAGCTCTGGGAACTGCAGCTGTGAACATGTGCACAGTGGCGACAGGTGGCGCAGATGCTTATTTTGAAATGGGAATTCATTGCTGGGATATGGCAGCTGCAGCCGTTATCATCACAGAGGCTGGTGGTGTTGTACTGGACATATCAGGTAGTCTGAGTCTTCATAAATTTTTACCCGTGTCCTGGTCAATAATGCCTCCCCCCCCCCCCCCCACCGTGGATGGGATAGAACGTGCCAAAGAGAAAGCTGAGAGAGATCCTGAGGTGGTGGTTGACTCATCAATCACTATGTTAGAACCGTGTGAGGCAGCAATAGACCCGGTTTACAGGATCCTGGGCTATATTGCTAAATAACAACAATAATAATCTTTGCATTTGATATAGCGCTCTGTCACGTCATTGAAATGTCTCCAAGCATTTTTACTGTAAAGTTGTGTGACTGTATTTTGTAGGCAAATAAATCAGTTGAGTTTAGATTCCCAAATATCATAACAAGGTTTATACAGGGCTCTGCTTAGACCAAACCTTGGATGATGCCTACAGTTCTGGTCACAATATAAATGACTGCCAATAGAACAAGAGACATAGGTTTAGATTTGTAAAGGCAATTTCAAGAGAGATACAGGGAGATTTTCTTTACTCAGAAGATAATCAACGCTGGAACAGGTTATCAGGAAGGGTGGTAGAGGCCGGGACACTGGACTCAGTTAAAAGGCAGCTTGATGCAGAAATATGGGGACGTTAGGGAGGGTATTCTGGAGAGATTAGATCAGGTGGGTCGAAGGGCCTTCTTTATCCAGATCAATATTGTGTAAATAAAAGTAGTCATTCACTTCCTGGCCTCATGTGGGAACATTTTGAAATGAAGTCTCAAGTTTAGAAGCATTTTTTCTTTTAAAAAGGCATTCAAATTAATTAAATTGAATTTTCCACAACTGTGCAGAATCTTACATTTGGAGGCAAAATGAGTTTAAGGTTGTTAGTTGATGAATACAATCATTTCGTCCAGTGGTTTTAAGTGGCATTAACTCATCCATCATTATTTGATTTTCCAAAAAAGGCTGAGCCATAACTTTTTACCCTCCAAGAAAGTTCGAAGCACAGTTTCTAAAAGCATTATTTTCTTTTATGACTTTTTTTTCCTTTATTTTCAGGAGGACCATTTGACTTGATGTCACGCAGGGTGATTGCTTCTAGCAGCAGAGCCATTGCAGACAGAATAGCACAAGTGGTGCAGCCGATCCCATATGCAAGGGATGATGAGGAGCAATGAATTGAAGGACGAATTTGTAGTGTATAAAGTCAAGAGAACTATAATAAGAAAGTTTTTTTTTTTAAAAAAACACAAAGATTGTAGATTTTCCTTGTTTTTAGTTCCAGAATGTACCGCGGATATTGAGCTAGACTATTAGAATGAGGAAAATAGTGAACTCTTCACACATCCAATGATTCACACACCCAACTGAACGCTCTGCTGATCGCTGCTCTTGTCGCCTCATGAGATCCACTCTCTCTGGTATGTGACGCCACATCATACACTCGACCTGTCCCTTCAGCAGCACCACTTTATCTCAGAACTGCCCTCGTCCTCAACTCATTTCATTCATCGCCACATTCGGCGCCTCAACAAAAAACTGTTCCTTTTTCTTTTAGGTGCCAACCCACCTCCTGAAGCCTCCCCCCACCCCTTTACCTTCTCCTGACCCCCAATCCCACGCCCTGCTGTATCTTCACCATTCCCTCTGACTTCCCACTTTCTGATCCTGAACAATCCGTCCTCAGTAAAGGCTTCAGCTTTATCCCCTTACGCCCCCACCTCAAATCAATTTTGATCCCGACATGACGCTGAGCTCTTCTTCCGCCGCCTCCGCGCTCACTTCTTTGGCCAGGATGCCTCCCCCTGTACATCGGACCCTTTCTCCTGTCTCCAGAAATCTGACCCCACCGCCAGGCTCCCTACCCTCCCGCGACCTGTTCATTGAAAACTGCCGGCGTGACATCGGCCGCATCCAGTTCTTCCCTCCCCTCCCCCACTCAAACCTCTCTCCCTCTGAACGCGCTGCACTCCACTGCCTCAGGACCAATCCTGATTATCACTGTTAAACCCGCTGACAAGGGAGGCGCAGTCGTTGTCTGGCGAAAGGACGGCTACCTGGCAGAGGCTGAATGCCGACTCTGACAACTCCTCCTACCTTCCTCTGGACCATGACCCCACAGCTGAACACCAAGCCACCATCACTGAGGTAGTCCATGACCTCATCTCCTCTAGTGACCTTCCTCCTACAGCCTCCAAACTCATAGCCTCGCACAGCCCGCCTGTACCACCTCCCCAAGATCCACAAACAGGACCATCCTGGTAGACCCATTGTCTCAGCCTGTTCCTGTCCCATGAATTAATCTCGTCTTATCTGGACTCCCATTTTTTGTTCCCCTCGTCCAATCCCTACCCACCTATATCCATGACTCCTTGGATGCCCTCTGCCACTTTGACAATTTCCGGTTCCCCGGTCCTGAACTTCTCCTCTTCTCAATAGATGTTCAGTCCCTCTACACCTCCATCCCCAACAAGGAGGGCCTCCAGGCCTTCCGGTTCCACCTTTATCAATGGCAAAACTAGCTTCCATCCACCACCACACTCCTCCGCCTGGCTGAACTTGTTCTGACATTGAACAATTACACATTCAATTCCAACAACTTCCTTCAAATAAAAGGTGTCGCTATGGGAACCTGCATGGGTCCCAGCTACACCTGCCTGTTTGTTGGTCACCTGGAACACTCCTTGTTCTGGTCCTACTCAGGACCACTCCCTGACCTGTTCCTCAGGTACATCGATGACTGTGTCGGGGCTGCTTCCTGCTCTCGCAGTGAGTTAGAAGCATTTATAAATTTCGCTTCCACTCCATAAAATTCACATGGACCATCTCTGATTCCTCCCTTCCTCGACTTCACTATCTCCACGTTAGGTAACAGACTATCCAGACATTTTCTATGAGCCCACCAACTCCCACAACTACCTTGATTATATCTCATCTCACCCAGCCTCCTGCAAAGACGCCATCCCACTTTCCCAGTTTCTCCACCTCCACCGCACCTGCTCTGACAATGCAACCTTCCACGCCAGAGCAACCAAGATGTCCTCATTTTTCCTTGACCGAGGATTCCCATCGATAGTAATTGCCAAGGCCCCTGACTGTGTCCGCCCTATTTCCCCCTTTCCCCCCCATCCCAGAACTATGATAGGGTTTCCTTAGTCCTCACCTACCATCCCATCAGCCTCAAGATTCAGCACATCATTCTCCTACATTTTCAGCACCCCAGTGTAATTTATCCACCAAACACATATTTCCCTTCCCTCTCCGCATTCCAAAGGGATCGTTCCTTCCGGGATTCCTTAGTTCATTCAGCCATCAGCACTACCAGCTGCTCTCCTTCCCGATACCTTCCCATGCCATTGCAGCAGATGCAATACCTGCCCTTTTACCTCCTCCCAGACCACTATCCAAGGCCCCAGACAGCGGTTTACATGTCCTACCACCAATGTAGTTTACTGTATCCACTCCTCATGGTGTAGCCTCCTTTATATTGGGGAGACTAAGCGCAGATTGGGTGACCGATTTGCAGAACACCTCCGTTCTGTACGCAAGGTCAACCCTGATCTTCTGGTCTCCTGCTATTTTACCTCACACTCCCATTCACAGTCTGACCTCTCCATCCATGGTCTCCTACGCTGTTCCAATGATCCACAGCAAAAGCTTGAGGAACAGCATCTTATCTATCTGGTAGGGACCCTACAGCCCTCTGGCCTCAATATCGATTTCAGCCACTTCAGACCATGACAGCTCATCTTCCCCCCTCCCCCTCTTTCTGTTATCATTACAATCATCACCCCAGACACTCTTTGTCTCTCTGTAATAATAATAATATAATAATCCTTGCATTTGATATAGCACTTTTCACGTCTGGAGGACGTCCCAAAGCGCTTCACAGAACACATTGTAAAGTGAATTGACTGTATATTTGTGGGCGAACGCGGCAGCCAATTGCGCACAGCAATGTCCCACAAACAGTCGTAGATTGAAAATGACTGATTTATTATTGTTTTTGGAGGGATTATTATTAGGCTCTGTGTGGAGTAAGGAAACTTGCCCAAGGTTTCGCCCTCTGCCTGGAATTCAACTCAGGTCTCTCACTTGCAAAGCGAGTGCTCTAACCACTGAGCTACAGGACTCCAGTGTGTTGCCTGTTCTGCACTTCTCCCCAGTTTTGTTTCTACCCATCCTCCCCCTTTTTACGCTACTACCACCTCTTTAACCCATCAACTAACACATTCTCTCCTTTGTCTTTGTTGTCTTCCTTGTCCTGCCTCCTCCTCTTAACTTGTCCTTCAAAACTCTCCCTCCCAACATGCCCCAGTACTGACGAAGGGTCGTGGACCTGAAACGTTGACTCGCTCTCCTTTCTCCATAGATGCTGCCTGACCTGCTGAGTTTTCCCAGCTCTCTGTTTTTGTTTCAGATTTCCAGCATCTGCAGTATTTTGTGTTTCACCCAATAATTGGTTAGGTCAAGAGTTAAATGATTTTCATTAATTCTGAAGTCTTTAGTTTTTAATCAAGTACCATCCGTTTAACATTTTTCTTTTTGCTGAGCTGAACCCAGTGTTGGAAAGTGATTGTCAGAATTTAGGACATTGATATGGTTCTCAATCATAGGTTGTTTCGTTCTTACACCGTACGACTTATGCACACTTTAAATTGGTTGTTTAAAGAATATAAACTTGCATTTTGCAAAATATCTGTGTATATTGCCCAAATTATTTATATATTTGCATAACTCATCACAGTCCTTTTCCCTTGGAGTGATGAGTTACCAGTTTACTGTATATGACTGTACCATCCCAATAAAAAAATTATACAAATCCACTACAATTGTTGTCTGGTCGTATCTTTTTAAATCCTGGCAAGTGTGCATCAAAACCTTGCTTAGCTGGGAAACAGTTGAAGGTAAATATATCACCTGTGATTGTAAACCTCGTTCATAGCCAACATTTTGCTTTTGACCAATCCACTCGAGAAAAGGCCTAAAAAGTTTGGAAAGCAAAACAATGTGAAACATCCTTTGCTAACCAGCGGGGGAGATTACAATTCATTTCCATAACTGAAATTCATGCAACTTGAGCCACAAAGTTGTAGCTGTGCAGCAACTTCCAGTTTGAGGATGTTGCATTTCAGACCCTATCAATACTGATGTCTTAGCATCAGAGGCCTGAAATTCCATATGGCCTTTATTGTCTTTATTAATTTAAGAACATGTATACATTTAACATAGTTTTGTATCAGACTAAGAGAGAGAGATTTTTTGAGGCTCAACTGTGATGTTCCTTACGGCTGAGTGACCCGCCAAAACAAACAAGAATGGCCACTTACATTTAATTTCTAAAAAAACAAGTGAACTTCATTTGATTAATTACAATTCTTCCAAAATTAACTAGCTATATTAGCAATATTTTCATGAAATGTTAATTTAAAAAACTTTAGAGCTATGCACTAGAAAATTACAGGGAAATTCTAATCTATTACAACTAGTACTTTCAAACATCAAAACAATCAAACCAGTCAAATACTCCACTTATTGTATAATGGTACAAGAGAATTTCAAACAGTTGAAAAAATATAGACTTAAATTAACAAAAGTGACAGTAATCTCTGGCAATAGAAAAATAGTTTAAAAATCTTATGTTAGAATAGGATCTGCAAATTCAGTTAAGCAGTAAACTCTATATTTACAGAAAGTGCATAAGGTAATCTTAGTTATTTCACAGCATGTAATATCATCAGAAGCCACCATCTTAATTCACTAGTCGTGTGTACAATTATTTTTACAGTCTCAACATAGTTTCTGTGTTTAATTGACAAATATTTAAATGTTTGGAAGTAATCCAGTTTTGTAAATATTGAAGGACGATGGTCCCCAATTTTAATTAACATGAATGGTACAAAAGATAGCCATAACTGAGCACACTCTACAAATCTCCAACACAGATCTTAAAATACAGCATTTTCAAGGTTACATCTGAAGATTACATCTATGTGGCTCACACTCGATACTTCTAGATCCTGGCAAATATCTGATTTGATTTCCAATTCATATGTTGACTGTCGGGCTTTTTATCTCGTCAATTATCTTCTATTTGGTAAAGCAGATGAAATACATATTAGTTTCAAATTACAGCCTTATATGGGCACATTGTTGGCATTCATTATTGATTTGTCAATATTCCATACGATCCAAATATAACTATCAAGCTCTGAAGCCAGATGCTCCCCACATAACACACAATAAGACCTAGGATTTGCAGGGCGTAAACAACCAGAGATTACATGTTAAACCCGTGACAAGATTCAATTCCATTTTTATTTTGACTTCATACTTTAATTTTCCTCATCAATGGTGCTCAGATTTTGAACAACAGGTCAACTGCATTTGAATCGTTGACACAAGTCTTTCTTAGTGCTGTTGAATGACTATTTCAACTCAAGTTTAGAGCATCAAGAAAGAACTAAGATAAACGGGGTTGGAATTTAAAAGGTTATTTCCGTCCTTCTGACTGAAGGACGCACTGAAAGAAAACTAAATGGTCTGACCTTGGGTCTATCTCCACAACTACTGTTAATTCCACTCTAATCTGCTAGATGTATGCATCATATTTCAAATCGACTGTATTTAACATACGGATTAGATTAATGGACTATTATTGATACTTTGAACTTTTGCAGGCCTATGGGGAGAGAGCGAGGGAGTCAGATTGAATTGAAATGCTCTTTTAAAATAGTCAGCACAGACACGATGGGCCGAATGGCCTCCTTCTGTACAATTCTATGATTCTATATAAGCAAAAAAGTCACCAGGAGAAACTTCCTTCTTTTTAAATAGTACCATGGGATGCTTAACATCCACCTAAAGAGACGATCGGTATCTTGGTTAGATCTTACCCCTAGCACTGCACTGGAGTATCAGCCTGGACTATGAGCTCAAATCCTGATATTGGTCTTGAACCCATAACCTCTGACTCAGAGACAAAAGTGCTACCAACTGTATGTTGGCTGTATGTTGGCTATGTATTGTATTCATCACCAACATTTTGATATTCATTTTCTTTGAGTTTTCAAAAATTTGGGAGGAAACTTACCTTTCTTAGCCTCTGAATAAATTTCTCTTCTGTCTCATTCGGATTTGGGTCTGGGATTGCAACATCCCAGCGATAGAGCTCACTAAACATTTCTTCCTTGTTGTATAATACAACTGGATCTAAGCAATGTTCATTAGCAAGTTCCACTAAATACTGCTTATAATGTTTCCTGAAACAGAGATGTGATAGTTAAGTTCCAAACAGCTCTGTCAATCACATTTATTAAGACATCTGTACAAGCACTTAAAAACGGGGTTATGGGAGGGAATAAGAGACTCCTGATGGAGACTCCTAGAGGATAAACATCAGCATGGACTGGTTGGGCCAAGTGGCCTGTTTTCGTGCTATGCGTTCTTTGTAAATTTTACTTACTCGCAAAACCCAGAATAACTTCTTATTGCGTTGTGTCCACACTGCTCATCTTTCAGCCCCTCGACACTATCTTTCTGCTCCATAACCTTACATTTACCTAAAGAAACACAAGAGCTTTCAGCCAGTAAAACAAATGTTTACAATACCTCATTCCACTGTTCAAAAAATTAGGGTTTCCTCACAATCATTTATTTAATAATTCTAGTTCACCTATGGAAGTTCGGCCACTGAGTTTTAGTAGGTTATTTCACCGTGGAAGCATCACCATCAAGTATAACCTTGTCTTCATCCAACATTTACATATGTGCCCCCCCATCAGCAGCCACTGGATAGCTTTCAGGAGCTAGAACTTTGGCTGATAATCCTCTCTCTAACCTGAGGCACTGAAGCCCACCATAGAGCTCTATGATATGAGTTAACTCAGCACTGATTGGAAATGCACCGGAAGCTTTTCCATTTCTGGCTCAGCAATTCACTGACTAAACATCACTAAGGTGTCATACATCCTACCAATATTTACTGTCAGGCCTCATATTAAGAAAACCCCTTTGGGCAATATAATTCTCATGAAACTGTACATTGGGGAATGTTAGAGGAGCTAGCAAGATAACAGGAGAAAATTAACAAAAGAAAAATGCAAAACAATGGAAAAGTTAATCAGATGAAAGAAAATGTATTCTGAGCAAGAATAATCAAATAAATAAAACAGCGGAGGCTTTGGCTACAATTTTTCAATCTTCGTTGGACACAGGGATGGTGCCAGATGACTGGAGAGTGTCCAATGTGACTCCCCTGTACAAAAAGGGTCAGAAGAACAAACTTGGGAACTATATGCCAGTCAGCCTAACATCAGTAGTGGGGAAACTCCTGGAGACTATAATCCGGGACAGAATAAATCTTCACTTAGAAGAATATGGGTTAATTAGGGACAGCCAGCACGGATTTGTTAAAGGCAGATCTTGTCTAACAAATCTATTAGAATTTTTCGATGAGGCAATGAAGAGGGTGGATAAAGGTAGTGCAGTTGATGTAGTGCAGTGGTTAGAGCACTCGCCTTGCAAGTGAGAGACCTGAGTTCAATTCCAGGCACAGGGCGAAACCTTGGGCAAGTTTCCTTATTCCACACGCCTAATAATAATCCCTCCCAAAAAAAACCAATAATAAATTGGTCATTTTCAATCCACGACTGTTTGTGGGACATTGCTGTGCGCAATTGGCTGCCGTGTTCGCCCACAAATATACAGTCAATTCACTTTACAGTGTGTTCTGTGAAGCGCTTTGGGATGTCCTCCCGACGTGAAAAGCACTATATCAAATGCAAGGATTATTATTATTATTATTTATATGGACATTCAAAAGGCATTTGACAAAGTGCCACATGAAAGACTTGTAAGAAAGACAGAAGCCCATGGTATAAAAGGGACAGTGGCAGCACGGATCCAGAACTGGCTGGGAGACAGAAAGCAGAGAGTTGTGGTGAACGGCTGCTTTTCTGACTGGAGGGAAGTGTACAGTGGCGTCCCCCAGGGATCGGTATTAGGACCACTGCTCTTCTTAATATACATAAATGATCTGGACTTGGGTATAGCAAGTACCATTTCCAAGTTTGCGGATGACACAAAGTTAGGTGGGATGGTAAACAGTGAGAAGGATAGTAGCCAACTGCAGGAAGACATAGACAGAATGGTAAAATGGGCAGACACATGGCAGATGAATTTCAATGTGGAGAAAGGCGAGGTAATGCATTTTGGTAGAAAGAATGAGGGGAGGCAATAAAGGCTGGTAATACAATCTTAAGGGGGGCAAAAGAACAAAGAGACCTGGGGGTGCAGGTAAATGAATCCTTGAAGGTGGTAGGACAGGTAGATAAAGCTGTAAAAAGGGCATATGGGATACTAGGCTTTATAAATAGGGGCATAGAGTACAAGAGTCAGGAGGTTATGATTAATCTATATAAAACACTGGTTAGGTCTCAGTTAGAATACTGCGCCCAGTTCTGGGCACCACACTATAGGAAGAATGTTAAGCCATTGGAAAAGGTGCAGAGGAGATTTACAAGGATGAAACCAGGAATGAGGGACCTTGATTATGAGGAAAGGCTAGTGAGGTTGGGATTATTCTCATTGGAACAGAGAAGGTTACGAGGAGACCTAATAGAGGCTTTCAAAATCATTAGGGGATATGATAGGTTAGAAAGGGAAAAATAGTTTCCACTGGTGGGTGTGTCGGTGACTCGATGTCACAGATTCAAAATAGTATCTAAAAGAAGCAGAGGGGAGGTGAGAAGAATTTTTTTCACACAGCGAGTTGTTAGAATCTGGAATGCATTGCCTGAAAGGGTGGTGGAGGCCGATTCGATAACTACTTTTAAAAACGCGTTGGAAGGGTATTTGAGGAGGACGGGTTTGCAGGGTTATGGGGAAAGGGCTGGGGAGTGGGATTGATATTACATTGCTCTTCTCAAAGAGCTGGCACTGACTCGATGGGCCGAATGGCCTCTTTTTGTGCTGTACGATTCTATGATTCTATGAATAAAAATTGGGCCATTACTTACCTGTAGCTAAATACTTCACTTATCATCCTACTAATAATGTTTCGAAGTCTCAAAAGGGGAATAAACTTCCTAGTTAACTGAAGCTTTGTTGAGCTTTCAATGGAATCAATAAGTATAACAATATTATGAACTTATTGGAGACAGCAAAATACACAGCCACATTCAAATCAAAAAATTGATTAAATCAGTTGTGAAAATGTATATGAACCCTTGCAGTCTGTAAGGAAGGCCTCACTTACACAAAGAGTTATTACCTTCAATCTCTCCTGGAATGCTTTTATGGGTTGTGAAGGCAGAAATACCATTTATCTAGATTAAAGAAAACAACATATGGTAAGAAAGTACCAAAAATACAACAAAATTCCTGCCGAATATAAACTTCATTGGATAGGTAATCCTTCTCTTGTCATTCAACTCCGCCGCTTCTATTGTAGCTTTTCAGTATAAAGATGCTACTAAAAAGTCTTTCCTGCTACTCCTAAATTTGAAATGTCTTATAAACGTCCTCCACAGTGTTGAAATGAAGACTCAATGTATTATTTCCAACTCAAAATTATTCTCTCTCAGCACATCAACACTGTGGACTCAACATCTATTCACCTTCCTGGCCTCCCACAATCTAGTCTTTCAAAACCCAAACTTGGCATTCAACAAAACACTTTGCCTTGCCTTGTTCATGTTCTCTTCCACTCTTTTCAGTCTTTCACTTGAGCTCCAGAATTAAAATATATATATTTTTTAACTGTTGATTGTTATTATACCTTGGTGAAGAGGGAAATTACTTTCGATATTGTGCTTAAAATAAAACTTCATATCAAAAGTACTCTCCCAACAGTACTCTCCCTTTACACAAATATATTATAGAACTGGTGCTGGGTTTTGTTAAAGGAAAGAACCATGACTACAATTTCAAACCAACAAACATGACTCACATTTAGTAGTTGTTGTAATCGTTGTACACTCCAGTCTCTGAGGTGATAGTAACAGTTTCGGGGATGGTGTGCATGTAGTCCCTTTGCATGGCAGTTCTTCGAGAATCCACAAGTCTATGTCACCAAATATATTTAAATCATTCTTCTATTCTTTTAAGTATATATTTATTTAAATGTTTTAAATATTTCTGAAAACTGGCTTGAAAGTAAAGACTTTGAATAATTAGCATATGATACAATTTACATTTATATAGTGCCTTTCACGTTAGTATGACATCTCAAAGCGATTATGCTCTAAAATAATGTAAATCAAAACCCAAGTGGAATTTCTTCCCAACAATGCCTTTGTTGGGTGGTAGAATTTGCTTGGCTAATATTAAAAGGAGTAAAATGGCCTCCACACTGGAAAGTGTGTATTCATCCCTGTATCTGACGATTCCTACCTGGCTCTACCCCAAGGTTTCATTGTCAGACAATACAGTACATTTATACCCCACTGGTTAGGCCTCAGCTAGAGACTGTGTTCAGTTTTGGGCACCACACTTTAGGAAGGATGTCAAGGCATTGGAGAGGGTGTAAAGGAGATTTACCAGGATGGTAACAGGAATGAGGGACTTCACTTATCAGGAGAGGCTAGAGAAGCTAGGATTATTCTCCTTGGAGCAGAGAAGGTTAAGAGGAGACTTAATAGAAGTTTTCAAAATTATGAGGGGATTCGATAGGGTGAACAAGGAGAAACTATTTCCACTGGTGGGCGGATTGGTGTAACCCGAGGAAACCGATTTAAAATAGTTGCTAAAAGAAACAGAGGGGAGGTGAGGAGAAATGTTTTCACACAGTGAGTTGTTTGGATCTGGAATGCATTGCCTGAAAGGGTGATGGAAGCCGATTCGATAACAACTTTTAAGAAAGAAGTAGGCAATTATTTTGGGGAGGACAAGTTTGCAGGGCTATAGGGAAAGAGCGGGGGAGTGGGATTGATTTGAATAGCTCTTTTCAAAGAGCTGGCACAGACATAATAGGCCGAATGGCCTCATTCTGTGCTGTATAATTCTATGATTCTATGATTAGGTAAGCCTGGGTGGCTATAAGTTATAATAGCTATAAACTGGGCCAATAGAAAAATGTGGACATTTTTGCAAAAAATTTGTGGAGCGCTTTATGAATCTTGCAGGAAATTGCAGCAGGTCTTGTTAGATTTGGGGGTTTTGAGAACTGTGGGGGTTATTTGGTGCTATTGAGGTACATTTTACTACTACATTTTTTCACTTTATTGATAAATAATACATTAGATTTTTGCAAAAAAAAATTAATTGCTTCTTTAACAAAAACTGGATGGCCATTTTTTTTCGGGGTGGGTGGGGAGACGGGGTTGGACATCAGCGAGGCTACTGGAGCTCATCACCTCCTGCCTCTCAGGGCTGGCACTGCACACGGACAGAGACCCAGAGAGAGAGAAACACACACACTCAGAGACACGGAGAGAGAGAGACACACACACTCAGGGTCCCAGAGAGAGAGACACACACACACACACACTCAGAGATCCAGAGAGAGGGAGACAAACACACACTCAGAGACGCAGAGAGAGAGAGAGACACACACTCAGAGACATACATATATAGAGAGAGGCACACACACTCAGAGACACAGAGAGACACACACACACTCAGAGACCAGAGAGAGAGACACACACACTCAGAGACCAGAGAGACACATACACTCAGAGACCAGAGAGAGACACACACACACTCAGAGACCAGAGAGAGACACACACACACTCAGAGACCAGAGAGAGACACACACACACTCAGAGACCAGAGAGAGACACACACACACTCAGAGACCAGAGAGACACACACACACTCAGAGACCAGAGAGACACACACACTCAGAGACCAGAGAGAGACACACACACACTCAGAGACCAGAGAGACACACACACTCAGTCATAGACACAAAGAGACATACACACACACACACACACATACAGAGTCACACGTTGACACAGAGACACTCATAAACACACACACAGATAGAAGAGACATAGACACACGTACATGAAGACACACGCAGACAGTCACAACAGCGGGGCCTCCCAGTGTAGCTGATTTGCCACTTGCTCCGCACTGCGCATGTGTGTCCGGAGCTGATCCACCCACAGTGACGTCAGGTAAACAGCACGAATGGCCCCCGGGCCAGAAACTACATTTACGGTTGGTTTATAGTGAAAATGCGGAAAACGTGCAGCCACACTTTTCTAGTGGCCCAGGCTATAAGCCATTTTCAGGTTTGTGGCCACCAGTAAATTTCCATCATGGTGTTGGGCTGGGCAGCATTGTAATGAGAACGGAGTGCACACTAAAAATACATGCTGTATATAAACAAACCTCTGCAGAACCATACAACAAACATGTTAATGATAGTACATCAACAGATTTAATCACAAAAATCATAGAAAGCAAAGAACTTACTAGTCCTAATTTAAAGGGTCTTTTACAGCCACCGCAGAACTGATAATGACACACGGAGCAACAAAAATGAATGCAGCCTCCTTTGGACAAATCAAACTGAGCTTTGCATTTAGGACAATCTAAATGTAAAGAAAGAACTTTAAATATTTATGTCTCTTAACTCCTAGACCTCTTTGATCTTCAATGTCATTAAGAACTTCACTATTTGCAAGGATTCATCTTTATATATTTATCTGGCTCTTACATGTCCCTCGTCCTCTTCACCCCACCACTGGTTGCAATGCTTTGCCCTCTCCTTGCCATTATGTATCGCATCTAAAGACCTTTTTCTTTGACTATGCCTACGGTCACCTCCACTATCTACCGTATCAAATGCGGCAGAGCGATCCAGGAGGATGAAGAGGCAGTGGGAGACCTGGTGACAGATAGAGAGAATGTCGTTTGTGACTTTGACAAGAGCTGTCTCTGTGCTGTGGGCAGGGCGAAAACCGGACTGCAGGGGTTCGAGGAGGGAGAGGTGTGACTGAAGCTGACCTGCAACAATGCATTCCAGGAATTTGGAAAGGAAGGGTAGGTTGGAGATGGGATGGTAGTGTGTGAGATTAGAGGGATCAAGGGAGGGTTTTTTGAGGAGGGATGTGATAACAGCGGTTTCAGGGGAAGTGGAACAGAGCCTGAGGAGAGGGACTGGTTGACCGTGTTGGCCAGCAGAGGGGAGAAAAAGGGGAGTTGAGTGACCAGCAGCTGGGTGAGGAGGGGGTCGAGGCAGCAGGTGGTGAACTTCATCCGGGTAGCTGCGGTTGCGAGGGAGGAGGGAGAAATGGGGGCAAAGGAGTGTAAGGAGTGGGCAGTGGCAGGAGCCGTGGTGGAGGGAGAAGGTGGTAAGGATGGTCTGGGTGGGGTGGAAGGGGACATGGTGGGGGGGGGGGGGGTGGGGTACAATGCAGCCAAGCGGATGTTTTACATTTTTGAGGCAAAGAAGTCTAGGACCTCTTCACACTTGGTGTTTGACGTGAGGATCGAGGGGTCTTGAGGGGGTGCACGGTGGAGGTGATGTACGGTGGACAACAGCGTCTTTGGATTGTTGTTTGCCTCCAGGATGACTTTGGAGTAAAAGTCAGTTTTGTCCTGTGAAAGGGAGAGGCGGGAGGTGTGGAGGTGCTCGAGCCACAGCTGGTGGTGAATCACGAGGCTGGATTTCTGCCATTCGCGCTCGAGCATCGGGTTTGGTTTTGAGTGAGCAGAGATGACTGTTGTACTAGGGAGAGCGGGTGGGTTTAGAAACAACCCTGGATTTCAGTGGAACCAGGAATTGAAGGCTGTGGAGAGACGGTTATTTAGCAGCTTGACGGCTGCATTAGGATCACTGTGGGTGGAGGGCCAGAGGGAGAGGAGGTCCGAGGAAGAGACAGTATTTATGAGGGACTCAGGGGGAAGCTTTTTCCAGGGGCAGAAAAAAATGTTGGCGGGTTTGGAAGAGGGGAGGAGAGGGAGATGAGGAAATGGTCGGAGATGGCCTTGTACGTGATTGACAGGTCGGAAATGTCAAGGCCGTGTGTGATGATGAGGTCGAGGGAGTGGCCACGGTTGTGGGTCGGCGAGTCGATGTGGAGGGTGAGGTTTAGGGAGGAGAGGAGGGAATGAAAGGAGAGAGGAGATATCGATGAGGAAGGAGCCAAGAGGTTTGGGGGTGGTAACAAAGGATTTTGAGGGAGAGAGAGGAGGGATGGTAGAGGGTTAAGTGCTCAAAGGAGAAGAAACAGCCAGAGGAATAGGGTCATAGACCAAGGGAAGCTTGGGAGATGAGGGCCAATCCACCGTCATGTTGGTTGGGGTGGGGGTGGTGAAAGGTATGGCCAGGAGGGGAGGCTTCAACGAGTAGGATGGGATCACCTGGGGAGATATCTTGGTAAGACCAAGAATATCAATGTGCTCATCCAGGAAGAGGTCATGGATAGTAAGGGCTTTATTGGAGAGGGAGCGGACATTTTGGAGGAAATGCGGATAACAACAATAACAACAACAAGATTCCATTTATAGAGCGCCTTTCACGTCGGGAAATAGATTTGCTGGTAGGTGTCGGTGATGGGAAGAGTGATATAGAGAGGATTTGAGATCATGGGGGAGACGTGACCATGGAGTTTGAGCAACAGGCAGTGTTAGGGAGGGTATGGATGAGGGAGGGGGAAGTGGTGTTTGCCTTTCGGAGGCATTTTGTGCGGAGAGTGAGCAATGGAACAGTTGGGGCAGCTGGTCTGGGACAACCAACGCCAGGAGCCACAATGGGCCTGGCGGAGGATGCCCAGGCTGGAGCAAAGGGAGGTAACGGTAGGGACCAGGAGAGAGAGAAGGCGAGGAGGGCGATGGAGGGAAGGACAGAGTGGGAGTAGCGGAATGTAGGGGGTGGGAGCAGGAACGTATTCAGGGGAAGCGGTTCGGGTCGGGGCGGCAGCTAAAATGCACACGCAGAGACCGGGAGTGAGCAATCAGCGAGGCAGTATCGCGCTCCTTTTTTTACCAGTCAAGGAGCTACAATAAGATTTGTTTTAAAAAAAATAATCAGCAGTCGTAAGAATGACGAGTTACCTATTCCGTTTTTAGTGAGATAGGTATCCAGTTGGGTTGCCTGATACTCAGGGTTGTTCTGCTGTTTCCACTTCTTAAAGCTTTCACAACTGATGCCTTCGTGCTGTGGCTCCCACTGAAGAAATAAGTATGGTTTTAGACAGCGGAGTTCTATCAACACAACAACTGCACACACAACCATTTACTTCAGGAGCGTACTCACCGGACTCTTGCACTGGAAACACGTGCTCTTTTTACAAGAAGGGCAGTCCATTCTCAATTGATCTAATTCATGAAGCAGCCCAAAGGAACACTGAGAAACAATGCCATATTTAACATATTTAGGTTAGAGGCCTCTTTCTTGGTAAAACTGTTATAAATGTTTCGATAAACTGGTTCAGTATGAGTCACAAGTACACTCAATAATTTGACTAAAATGTCTCTCTACACTGAAATCCAACATCATATGGGATAACTTTGAGACGTCTCAAAGACGGGATAAGGCGCTTTATCATATGCAAGGATTGTTATATTATTACATAATTCCACAAGTGTCTTCAATAAACATTGCTCGGATATGCCAAGCTGTACCCATCTCATTTTGAATGCCTATTAAAATCAACATTTATAGTTACCATCTATAGGTTTAATCAACTCGATAAATAAATTTGACCAATATTTAACATCCAATAAAACTGCAAGTGTGAGCTAAGTGCTCTAAAAACCTATCCAAATGAAGGAGGGATCCATTCTTGCTCATAATTTCTGCCATTTTGAATTTATTTCCATATTTCTAAAGCATCCTCTTCAGAGACATGCAGAATCATAAAAACGTCATTAACAGAATGAGTGATCTCAAAGCCTTTCACAGAATATATTGTAAAGTGGATTGACTGTGTATTTGTTGGTCAACTGTGCAAGCAGTTTCACACAAACATTTGTGGATTGAGTGACCCAATTATTTTAAAAAAAACAGTAACCAGTCAGAAGCAGATGGATCCATACTCCAGCATGAGGTCAATGCCTTCATGAGAGGAGAGTGGAGGAAAAGGAAGGGAACGAGGGGCGAGGGAAAGAAAGAAAACAAGAATCTAAGTTTGAAAATTAAAAGAACAAAAGCAAAGCCTGTATTTTGGAAACGTTACAGAGCAGATCAACATCCTAGCTTTTTAAATTGGAAGAAACTCAAATCCAGCCTTACGTTTGCACACCATCTGAAGTTTGGCATTTCCATCAGAGTTCTGTCTCGAAGCTTTCTCTGGAATAGCTCATGAATTTCATAATCAAGATAATACCGAATCTGTTGTGTAGAAAAAATAAACAATGAAAGTTACAGGTTCTAACATTTTATCAGAAGTTGCTTATCCAAGTAGTTTCTCTCAACTAAAACCTAGATTGCCAACTTCACGACAAGTCTCCAGCATTTTTTTTCCAGATTCTAAGACTCTAACCTGAGTATCCAGCAAATTAAAATACTCTGTGATATCTTCGTGGAGCTCTCGATTGTTCAGGTCTGGTGCACTGCACATCGGGCAAACCAAATTCAGAATACTTTTCTCCTTTATGGTTGATGAAAAGTAGTTCTTAAAACAGGCTTCACAGAAGGAACAGGAACAGTGGGTCATCATGACAATCTATAAAACATAAAAACACACAAATTTAACACACACATCACTTAACTCATTAAAGCAAACACTAAAGTTAAATAGAAGAAAATAATCCTAAGAAAACTCCCATACACTAACATTTTAATAAGCCCTCACAAAATTGATCAATAGTGATACAGACGTTACAATTACATAATACAGTTCAACCCCATTAAAGCTCGCTTGGAGTGTGGCCTGACATTTATTTACTGAAAAAATTGCACACACTGGCTGTATTGCAGTTTCAAAGCCCATGTCAGAGTTCGGGAAGCCAAATAGCTGACTTCTGAGCAATCAGGTTGCTGCTGATACCACCTCCTGTGCTCTTTGCACACCTTCGAACTCTGCCCTTTTAGCTTCTCTCCTGTTAACAAAAAAGGGCGAAATACAGGGTCAACAGGTTACTGCTGATGTCGACCCAGACGTCAGTCATTTTGGCTTGCCACGTGTTGGCCAGTGTTTTGGACTGCCGACGGAATGGGCTGACTTTCTGCGTACGTAAACAGTGAATGCAGAATCATTAACCAGAATCACATTCTGTTACAGCACTGGTTATATCCCTTCACTCTCTGGCACCTTCCTACCTCTCCGACTTCCTCACTCCCCAATCCACCTCCGCTCGACTGGCACCACCATTGGAGATTGCACATTCAGCCACTACGCCCCAAAACTCTGGAACCCTCTCCTTTAATCCCTCCACCATGCCCCCACTCTCCCCTTTTTCAAGTCCCGCTTGAAAACTTTTTTGACCGTGCTTACGGTTACCTCCCCCAACCCTTGGTTCGGAGTCAGGATCCGCCAATGTTAAGGACTCTGAGACGCCACCCTGCGTGAAGGAAGCTATACAAGTTCAAGTTGTTGTTGGTGGTTGGAAATTTATGGCCATCCCAACTACCAAGTTTTAACGGGGTTCCACTGTATGCACTGTATACACAATACAAAAGACAGCTGAAGATTAATTCTCTCTGCACTTATGACATTGTATACATTTTTAATGAGTAAATATTGTATGAATTCCTACTCTCCGTCAGTTTACCCCAGAAGCATCCAAAAAAACATAACAGGGACGTATAACAAAAAGCAAACTATTTTAAACACTATTACTGAGAATTAGCCCCTCCCAAACCAATATGTCAGTGTCATTATACAGGTTTAAAACACGCTACTAAATTTGTCATAAATTGTGTGCCCAAGGTGAGAGTCCTGTAAAAGTTTTCAACTCTTTATATCCAGCATTCTCAGCTGAGAGCAAGCTGCTCACTCTACCATTACTATTCACACAATGGTAATAAAATGGGCGGAAAAAAATTATCTTAAGGGTTTCACCTTCGAAAAAAGAAGATACACGTAAGTAAGTAGATTAAAAGCTCTAAAAAGCTAACAAAAAGACATTATTTACTGTGACATTATCCTGCAAACTTTACCTTGTTAAAAGAAACATTGTCACTGCAAATGGGGCACTCATGAGAAAGAAATCGTAGCGCCGAGTCATAATCTAAACTAGATTTTACAGCTTCAATCACATCTTCAACATTGAAATTCTGGTCTTCAAGGTTCACAAGACTCTGGAAGAGGCTGGATTTATCTTGTGACACACCAGCAGGTGTTGACAGCAAACTCATCTGTGAATTAAAAACAAAAGTCATAATACGTTGTTTTAAAAAAGCCTTTCTAATCAATCTAAGAAAAACATACTTCACAGGACTGAATTCTCAGCATTTAAAACAACTTACAGGAGGGTTGTGTGTCCACAGAGTATCCTCACTACGCACTAAAACCGCATTAGCACCTCCAGCCAAATCAGTAATATCATCCCTTGCATTATACGGCTTCAGCTGCATACAGACATCCTTACCATCAATGGTAATTGTATGCCATTCTTGTTGGACAACTCTTTCTGCAACTGAAGCAATGAACAGCATTACCAGTCATACAAAGCTTCACACGTTTTATACACACACACACACACACAGTAAACAAAGATGAAGACAATTTTCACAATAAGCAAAATAATTCTTAAGATTTCTGTCCAACTTGTCCATATATAAGTAAGATGGTAAGATGCAAGGTTACTGTACATGAAAACTAAAGTGTAGCATTGGGTACATTGTAGATGAAGAATACAAAGGCAAAATGCTTAAAATATCAAACAAACTAAAATCAGACTAATACTCTGAAGTTAAGTCAAGTTAACATAAATCACATCATATTAAAGTTAAATTGTCAAATTATTAGTTAAAACCAAAAGCTTGAAGCACAGTGTACCTTGGGCATCCACAAATGTAATAACAGCACGTCCTGGAATTCTGGTTGGATACTGAAGATGGACTATTTCCCCACCACCATTTTTACTTCTTTGGAAATGTATGGTAACCTTGTCCTTTATCCTGTGTGCTGAAAAGCCAGCTGGAATTTTAAGCACCTGGACTTTTCGGTTATTCTTACTCGAATTTAACATTTGTGTGTTCCACAAGTTTTTGATGTGTTCTCCACCTCCTGATCCAATCTGATCAGACGAAAACATGGCCCGTGCTCCATCTTCAAGAAAGAGGGCAAGTCATTTGAATTCTTAGACGTTGGCACCACATTATTATACAAGTAGGTTCATAATGGAAATGTGTGTAACTGTTCTAACAATAACAACAACTTGCATTTATATGGGGCCCTTCACACGGGGTAGCTTTCCGGAGCACTTCACAGTGGCCGAGTGTGACCCTGAGCCAGGGGGAGAGGGATGGGGAGGTGACCGTATGCACGATCTAAAAGGAATGTCTTTAGGCTGGATTTGAAAGTGGGGAGGGAGGGGGTAAGGCGGAGGGATTAAGGGAGAGAGTTCCTGAGTTTCGGGGCGTGGTGGCTGAAGGCACGGCCACAGATGATGGAGCGGAGAGTGTGGAGTAAGCAAATCGGATAGGTAGGGAGGAGTGAGGGCATGAAGGGATTTGAAAACGAGTGAGAGGTCCTTGATCCGTTCAGTAATTGTGAGCCAGGGCAGCCTGGCAAGGACTGGTGTGATGGGAGTATGGAGTTTTGTGTGGGTGAGTATCGGTGAGGGGGAGGATAGTTCCAGCAATTTGTTTTAAATGGAGGAACAGGGAGGGGGGAAATGCAATTTTTTTTTACAGATTCGATGTATTTCAGAAAAGTATATTATGAAGCAGCGTTCTTTGAATTCATTCTTAAAGACAGACTAGGGAACTTAAGTCCCATTCGTAAAGACAGACCCCCTTGAGCATATCAGCCAAGTTAAGTTTAAATTCTAGTTTTAGCTGCACTCAAACGTTAATTGAGAGCAACAGAGTAACAGCGGCATAGAGTATTCTTTGGGTACAACCATTGTAAAAAAATTAAACTAAATAATTAATTCTCGGGAAGAATGAGGAGGAAAGGAAATGTTTCACTCCAGAGACTCATAAAAGGAATATTTCCATCTCAGTAAGTCATAAAGTCACAAGAAAAATGATAAGCGGGGGACACAAAAAAGTTATTCACCCCACCAATGCTCATCCTCCTATATATTAAAACTTATGGTACTCAATCTTACTCTGAACAACCCCAATGTTATAATTTTTATTATCTTGCTTGTTAAACTTGCCAAACATTCTCTTTCTTTTGAATAACAATTTTTTCCCCCAGATATTTATTCTGAATTCCACTAGTTCCTATTTATGGCACTTGAGATTCATTCATTGGGTTACTTCCAATTTGGCTTTACCTTACCACCTTTATTTCAAGTGTTAAAACCACAGTTCCTCTAATCATTCCTCCCTTCTCATCCCCCTTACCCTTAGGATAAGTCTTATTGCTCTTTTCGACATGTTTTGTAACACAAGTAAACTCCTGATAACTCATCACTCCAAGGGAAAAGGGCTCAGTGACAAGTTAACCAGAGTGGCGAATGAGGCATACGTATAAATACATAAATAAATGCGGCTGGATATTGACGGCATGATGACTTAAGTAGTAGTGACAAGTTAAGCCAGGGTCGAGTTATCAGCAGTTTATCAAGAATGTGACATGGTGTTCAAAACTGGACACATTCCAAACTAAACGTTGCATTGCACAATTGTTACCTGGTTTATTTAGAGATGTTTTCATGTTATATGCATTAAGTATTGCATCAAGATTCAAGTTTCCCAAGAGATCTGTAGTTTGTTCTACAGGATCCATTTTAATTTCCACTGCACATGATTAAAAAAAATAAGATTGTAAGAGCAAGTTTACAAATGCCTGTACATATCAATTTTATATTTGTTGACGAGAAATAATAGTTTACGCCAGCCCTACGGCACAATGCATTGGTACATTGCATAATGAGAAGCAAAAGGCAGGTTCAAGTCTCACTTTCCATAATCCTTTTTATAGGTTAATTATATTGACCCCTAATCCAGTACTCAGCCACACACCTTCAAGCAGAGATCTGAATAGCAATCAGAAGCAAGCACCAGGCTTTTTTTCTTCACTAAAACAATAACATACAAACAAACAAAATGACATGTGTATAGTGCCTTTTATGTCGGAAGTACGTCCCAAGGCCCTGGACAAATCAGTGTTTCAGACCCGAGCTGGAGGTCGCAATAGGGGAGGGTGGAAGGCAGGGTGGGGGAAAGGAGGGTGATCGAAGGCACAGTCAAAAAGGAAGGTCTTGAGATGGGTCTTGAAGGAGACAAGGCAGGAGACGAGGCAGAGGGACTGCGGGATGGAGTTCCAGAGGGTGGGGGCAGAGTGGCTGATGGCCCGTCTGCCAATGGCAGGGCGGGCGAGGCATGGGATGTGAAGCAGGTCAGGATGAGGATCTTGAACTCCTCTGTGTGATGGGAAACTAGTGGAGTCGGGCGAAGGTGGGGGTGAAAAGCCTGGTGCGGGAGAGGACACGGGCTGCAGAGTTCTGGATGATCTGCAGTCTGTGGAGGGAGGAGTTGGGGAGGCCGACAAGCAGGAAGTTTGCATAGTCGAGCCTGAATTTTATGAATGCGTGTATGAGGATCTCGGCGGCCTGCGGTGTGAAACAGTTGTTGAGCTGAGCGGTGGGGAAAGGCGGAGCAGGTCATGGCACGGATGTGGGGTATGAAGGAGAATTGAGGGTCGAACAGGACGCCGAGGTTTCATATTGGCTCCGTGAGATGTAGAGTACATCCATGGGGGGAGATGCTGTCAGTGCCCGAGGTATGGAGGCGCTGATGGGAGTCAAGCAGGAGGGCCTCGCTCTTGTTAACATTCAACTGTAGGAAGTTAGCTCTCATCTAGGACTTGATGTCCGACAGGCAGTCAGTGGGGACAGCAGGGGTCCTGGAATCGGAAACCCGATTGGAGAAGTTTAGAGAGGGAATGGCGGGAGAGGAAAGAGCGAAGCTGTGACGCGACAACTCGTTCCATGGCTTTGGAAAGGAATGGGAGGTTGGAAATGGGGCACTAGCTGGAGAGTAGGGATGGGTCCAGGGAGTTTTTTTGAGGATCGGGGTGATGACAGCTGTCTTTAGGAGAGTTGGAACAGTGCCAGTGGATAAGGAAATATCGGTTAAGAGATGGACCAGGAGTTGGAGCTGGGAGATGAGGAGGGGTGGGGATAGGGTCGAGGGAGCAGGTGGTGGGCTTCATTTTTGAGATGATGGAGGTGACAGACGAGGAGAGACAGGGACAAAGGTATTGGTAGGGATGGGTAGGGGCCGGGGCATGAGGGGGAGGTGGCGAGGGGGTAGCGGTGGACAGAGGAGAGGTAGCCAATTGAATCCCCTCAATTTTGAATTCGAGGAAATCTAACATCTCCTCGCAGTTGGAATTGGAGGGGAGGATGGACAAGGAGCGGGAAAGGGGACCGAGGAGGCGGTTAGTAGTGGAGAAGAGGAGCCTGGGATTATCCTTGGCCTCCAAGATTATCTTGGAGTAAAAGGATGATTTGGCAGAGGTGAGGGCGGAGTGATAAATCTTGATGTGGTCAAGCCAGATCTGCCGATGGACCGTTAGGTTTGATTTGCTCTAGGTGCATTCAGCGGCACGCACTTGTGCTTTGGGGGATTTACAGGAATATGAGGCAGTTCAGGAGTTGAGGGGGGCAAGGGAGTCAAGGATGGAGGAGAGGGAGTTGTGAAGAAGGGAAATCGAGGAGGGTAGGTCATTGTGAGAGGAGGGCCAGAGGGACAGGAATTCGGATGACGCCAGGACAGTGGAAAGGGAGTGGGGGGAGATTTTTTCCAAGGGCGTTAGATGATAGAAGTGGGTTAAGCAGGGGGAAGGGGTACAAAGGTGTTAAGGGAGATGAAGTGGTGGTCCAAGATGTAAATATACAATTTACATGTACAATTTAATTTCAGGAGGACATCTCAAAGTGCTTCATTGTGCTGGCTGGGCACCCAAGCCAGGTGGAGTGGGAACTGAAAAGGGTGGGGAAGGGAAAGATGACTGATAACAAGGTCAAAGAGTCTTGAGGCAGGTTTTGAACGTGGGGAGGAAGGGGACAAATCAAAGGCACTTTGAGATGGAGTTCTATAGGGCAGAATGGCTGAAAGTTTCATCTGGCAATGGTGGGGCAGATAGGGCATGAAGGACATGAAGCAGCCCATTGTTCCCTGAGCAAAGGGGGACAGGTTCAGTGGGTTCAACTGAGGATGGGGGGATTGATAGGCTAACCCAAAGACACTGACGCCAATTGCAGCCCCTACCTCCTCCAACTGCTGCCTTGTGTGAGATTAGATAACTCAGCATAAACCTGCAACCCTTGGCATGTATTCCACCTGAGAATAAGTCACTGGCTGAACTCAGACCTAACAAATTGGCATTAAGTTCTCTGTTAATGAGCAGTGAGTTTTATGCATTATTATGTACCTTTTGGACCAGCCTGTTGGAGAGGAAACAGGACAGGAACTTCTGAAAAGGAAAGGTCCAAAGACATCAGTTCAGTTATGTAAGATTTTTTTTTAGTTTTGCGTGCAGCATGCTGTCCAGTGGGCAAGGGTGTTTCTCCTGAAACATGTCTCTCTGAAAACATAAAATAGCACCATAATGAAATAAATCAAGAATTCCATGAAGAGCAAAAGGAGATGTTAGGCACAATTTTTTCACACAGAGTTATTGGGATGTGGCATTTCACATGCTACCCAAGTCAGTCTTGCAACTTACATTTTTTAAATTTTTCATAAGGACATTGTTTTCTAACTTTCACAAGTTTACTTACTCCTTACAACTATTTATAGTCTGTTTTTAATTGCTAACAGTATTTTGCTTTGATGACTGAAATACAAGATTCATTAAAAAACCATAATAGATACCATTGTTTCTTGTACCAGTTCCAAGTAAAGTAGATCTGCTAAGTAACTGCCTGCAACGGCAAAGAGAAAGAGACACATATTCTGTTAGTATTTTCATTCAAAATTTATGATGAAATATTAAGTTTTATAACAACTTACAAGTAGAATCACCTGCATTTCTGTAGCTGATTCTGAAATAGCAAAATTAAGATTTTGGTAAAAAAAAGAAAAAAAAATCCAAAAATCATGTAAAACGTTATATTATAAAGAAGATAGAAAGTTCTGCAGTAAAAGATCAACTAAGATGTTATACACTGATTTAGTTTTTGTCAGCCGGTGTCTCTCTGACACACACAGAAAACAATCCCCATGTTTAAGAGCATCCAAACCAGACTGAGTTCCACCTACACATATAAATTTCCCTGTGCCTAGAATCGAATGAGTACTCCCTACCTGCAGGGACATTCCTCAAATGTTAGATGCATGTTGGCAAGAACTCAGGGACCCCAGAATGTGTGTTGGGCTAACAGTGAGTTGGTACGCTACCCTTTCATTGCTGCAACCTGAGTTGAAGACTGATGGGGTGACTGATGGCTATATTAGAATCGATGTAAAAGCAAAATAGACAATCTCAGTCCCAGAGAGATGCCAACGGGATAACATTGGCCTAATAATGGCACTAACTAGCAATTTTATTCAGACATGCTCCAAGGAGAGATGGTATCCAGTGAGTCAAACGGAAAATGTCACACTTGTGCAGCAGTTGGTGTTCTTCTGAAGTTGAAGCTCAGGCACCTTGCTGAGTAAAGACAAAGTGAACCTCGGTTTACATCTAAGCAGCTATATCTGACATGAAAAGGTTAATGTCAACAATTGATGGTTGAACTGGAAAGATGTTTTTTTCCCCAGCACTGATGCGTTTCATCTTTATCTACTCAAATTCACACAAACAAAATTCAAATAACATTTTACAAATTCACCTTGCTTCTGCATAATTACTGGTCCATCCAGCAGGAAAAGAATCGTCACTTTGTTGCTCGTAATTACTAAAGGCTGTAACACACAAATGTTTACCATTTTTCATTCATACAATTGCAATTACTTTTTAATGAAACAAATATTTCTTCCAAAACCAGTTTAAAAATACACCTAATGCAAAACATTACAAATGATGCAAATACTGTCGTATATTTTCAGATAATTATAAAATAATAATAATCCTTGCATTTGATATAACGCCTTATCACGACTTCGAGACATCTCAAAGCGCTTCACAGAATATACTGTAAAGTGAATTGACCGTATATTTTGTGGGCGAAACGCGGCAGCCAATTGCGCACAGCAGTGTTCCACAAACAGTTGTGGATGAAGTGACCAAATTATTTTGTATTTATTTTGAAGGTATTACATATGGGTAGATTAGGTTTAATGCATGGTACTGTACAATACAAAGTTTTATACACCAGGAAGGTCCAAGATCCAATCCCTAGTCTGTGTTGAGTTGGCCAATCTAAACCAGGATAGCAGCTGGGTAGCAGTTTATGTAACAGGCTCCATAGTGGGATATAAGACAGGATTAAGAGTTTTCACTGTTCCTTGCTACCTAGTAACCACTCCAGGAAAAATGCTCTTGTGCCAACATCTGGGGAGGGTAAAATCAGACTCAGCTATGACGACTCTCATGTCTGAATTATTTACATGTGAAAAATGGCCATTTGGGAAAACCGATTAAACCCCAAGAACTACCCGTCAGCAAGTTTCCAAGTGATAGATGTTGATCTACTGGGGCTAAAGAAAATATCCATCTGCCTGGACCATCAGGTCGCCGCTTTAATTTGCAGTTAGTCACATTTCTTCTTGGGCACAGAAAGTGCTCAGTGGAGGGAAATTTAATATGGGCCGTTACCCTCATGAAAACACGACAATTGAATAGGTGAGAAAAAAAATAGCAACAACAATTCTGTACAGGGTATAAAATACTGACAGGCAAGTCACACTTTACCTTGTGGAATAGTAATCTGCTTTTGGCTAGCAGCAAATTGCATTGGCGGAGGTACTCTCTCTCCAAATGATATTCTTATATCTTCCAGAAGTCCCACTAGATGTGATGTTGACTAAAGGAAGCATAAAAGATCAAACACATAGCAGTTGATAACATTGTGCACTTGCTACAGTTCCTTTTATGTAAGATAACAGTTTCATAATACTTAGTTATTACATAAACACAGTGGGCAAGCCAGAGCAGGTAGAGTTTAAGGTTGCTGGACAAAGACAGTCAAAAACGTAACTCTTTAACAAGGTATTGGAAGTGGGCTGAGGTGCAAGGCAAAGGGATTAGGAGTTCCAAAAAACACAAATAACAAAGGAAATTGTATTACCTAAAACCTAAAACGTCAATTCATACCAATAGTGTGGTCTAATTCTGACATTCAATTATACTGAAATGCTTAAATTAACACAATTCAGGTGTAAAATGTACATGAAAGAAAGATTGCTCATATATTTGCACTTAATGAAAGATAAACATTACCGAATCAATTAGTCTGTAGATCAACTTTCACATATTTTCCAAATTTAAACATTCCTCATGACTGACTAGAAAAAAATATTTAGTATTAGAATTTGCTGTGTGAACATTGATTTATTTGCCTCGAGTGTAAAAATTTAGTCTTCCTTACACTTTTCCAGTTGTTCAGATACTGTGAAGTCATCATGTCATTGATATCCACCCAGTTTCCAGTTATCCCTTTATTCGTTAGTAACCATACAAAGCACTTTGGCATCATATCAGGATGTAAAGTATGTAACCAGATGCACACTGAGATTTTACGAACTCGTCCTAAAACATAAACACATTTGCACAATTTTAAGGAGATTGAGGTTTCTTTTATATTCCCCTCTGTCAGTCACACTAAGGCATGCATTAGTTGTGGACAGTAGGATGAGCAAACTAACAGTTCCTGGCTCCCTCTACCTAAATCACACTGCAACAGGCTTAGTGTTAGGATGTTCTATCAACATGAAAGCACAACATAAATGTAAATTTGTGTGTGGCTGCCACCTCCATCTTCTGGGTAAATTCTGAGCTTTGCTTCCCATCGCCTAACTGAGATCAGTTACTCACTGGCTAATAAATCAGCGGTTAGAACCCACATCCCACCATTCTGGAGTTTGTAGGCAACACCACTATGTCCCATTTGAGGAACTCCTGTTTCTACTGCTTTATATAAAGCTAGCGCTCCAGGGTGCTATGCTACGCTAAATAAATGCAAATTGTCCTTGTTGTAAATTGGCACAATGGGCAACCAATGCCAGTACAGTGTGGTAAAATGTGGAGTTGTAACCATAATCCCCCGTTGTCTGATTTACTTAATCTCAATCCAGATTATCATGGCAGGATGTTGCCAATTATGCAGCACAGGGAATCTGTCAGAAACATTGTCATTAGGCTACTGTCATTCAAATCCTAGAAGCCATGAGAGCAGCACAGTGTTAACTTTTTCACTGCGCAATTTCCCTGCCCTCTATTTTAGCATGATCCAGGGAAGGCTAAAATCATGGTCTTCCAATCCTACCTACGGACTCGCCTTTTATAAATAATTCTTACCTTTACATGTCACAGGAATAGTACCTCTCAATCTAACCAGCTTCTTCTTAACTCCATTTCCATAAGCTGAAAGGAAACAAACAGCTTCTTAAAAGAAGAAAAAATCAACCAAAAGATGTGAAGATATTCATTTTATCAACCTCACATAGCAGAAAAGCTAAAAAAAAAAATGACACTCCGATTCAAATGCAGATTTGGTGATTTCCCTATAGGTGTATTAAAGTAACTCCATTACTTACAGAACAAGTCAAAATCCACAATGAGATCTCTGTATGTTGCTTGTACACTTTCAAATTCTTTAATGATTCTGGCTGGGTACACATACGAACACTACAAAAGAAAAATATTGCATTTTAATTTGCAACTTTGTACAATGTAATGCTTGTGCAAACACCATTTTTCACACGTGTCTTTCTTAATTTTTTTTGAATTACAATATAGACACTAACCTACTAAGTAATAAGTATAATGTGCTTACTCCTCCTCTGGGTCCCCATAAGATTAAGCCATTGACATGCATCCACTTCAAATGTGGTGCTTATAATGTGACATTGTGCTTCTCACATTGTCACACTTCAAAATATGTCGGTGTGATGCATACTAATGGAGCAGTTATGCTTTTTGAGCACATTTGGATTTTTGGGGCAATACTGTAAATCTCAGGGTCTATGCCCAATCATACTCTAAGCAAAACTGCATTGAACCAAAACACAACCTTAAATCTGTGAGTCTACACTACTTGTCCACTGTTCTTTAAGAGGGAATGTTTTCTTAAAATCAAGTTTTTCTTGAGGCTCATTAATTTTTGTGTCAGATTTTCTTGTTTTGTACTCACATTCATATTAATGAATCTGTTTGCACCCACAGTATCCATTCATCTGTATTATTAAAAACCTGGATCATGTAAACTGTTTAATAAAAATAATTTGGTCCTCCCAGCATAGAGTTCTGAGCCCTATCCTCGTGGATAAATTCTTCATGGGAAATGTAGGTGTCAGCCTGGCTCAGTTGGTAGCTCTCGGCTTGGAGACTGTGGGTTCGACTCCACACAACAACTTCAAGCTCAAAACCTAAGCTAGGGGAGCTCTGTTTTGTTGGAGATCCCACCCTTTGAATCAGACATTAAACTGAGCTCCCTTTTGCCTGTTCAGGTGGATGTTAACGATCCTGCGGCACTATTCACTATAGAGAAATGTGAAGTAATTCACTTTGGAGCAAGGAATAAAGCTTACCTCACCCTGGATGGTAGGAACTTAAGAGGGGAAGAGAAACAAAGGGATCTAGGGATTCAGATTCACAAGTCTCTAAAAGTAGCATAAGTGGATAAGGCCATAAAGAATATAAATAGAGTCCTTGATGCAAGTGAGAGACCTGGGCTTGATTTCCGGCAAAGTGAAACATTGGGCAAGTTTCCTTACTCCACATGCCTGTTTACATAGCAGTAAGTAGGAACCCGGTTGTTAAGTCGATTGGCGGAACGCTTTTCCACTGGTAATAATCTCTTCCAAAAAAAACATTTGGTCACTCAATCCATGACTGTTTGTAGGACACTGCTGTGCACAATTGGCTGCCACGTTTCGCCCACAAAAAATACAGTCAATTCACTTTACAGTATATTCTGTGAAGCGCTTTGAGACGTCTCGAAGGCATGATAAGGCGCTATATCAAATGCAAGGACTATTCCTCCCGACGTGAAATGCATTATACAATGTAATTTGTTCTTGTTGTTGAGTTGGGCCAAATAGCCTGTTTCCATATTGTAATGTTGTCCAAGTCATTCTGTGTAATTCTATATGATTCAAAAATAAAAGGGAGTTTCTCTTGGTGTCCCACCCAATAAAATTAGCCATTCACTTTATGGCTGTTTGTGGGATACTGTCGTGTGTAAATTGTCTGCTATGTTAGCCTACATATATACGGGTCACATGTTGCAGTATATCCTGTAAAGCATTTTGCAGTCGTGTTCATGAGATTCAACCTAGAGAGACATTTGAAGCAGGAAAGTGTTGGTTCTTTCAAACACAGATTATTTTGTTTTCTTTTAGGAAATAACATTATGGGTAGTTCATGACATATGTGCATGCGACCCACAGGAAAGTAGAAGGTGAACTAGATGGTCCTTGGTCTTTTTTCGGTCATTTCTTATGCTCTCATATTAATAATAATTCTGCCATTTGATATAGCGGCTTTCACGGTAGGAGGACAACTCAAACCACTTCGTAGAATTTACTGTAGAGTGTAGTTACTGTGTTTGTTTATGTTTCAGCTATCTGAGACACTGCCTCGCATGAAGGACACTAAATATGCAAGTTGTTATTATAATAATAATCCTTGCAGTTGATATAGCGCTTTTCGCATCTTCGAGATATCTCAAAGCGCTTCACAGAATATACTATAAAATAAATTGACTGTATATTTTGTGGGCGAAACACGGCAGCCAATTGCGCACATCAGTGTCCCACAAACAGACATGGATTGAGTGACCAAATTGTTATTGGTTTTTTTTGAGGGATGATTATCAGGCGTGTGGAATAAGGAAACTTGCCCAAGGTTTCACCTTGCTGGGAAATAAACCCAGGTCTTGCGAGGCGAGTGCTCTAACCACTGAGCTCCAAGACTCTACTATCATTTTGGTTTCGTTTGTTTTGATAACCAGTAATATTTCATAACAAATACTTCTTAGGAGATTTATTTGTGTCTTTTGGCTTGATTACATTGGATCATTTTATTTATTTTGTTACACCAACAGTTCATTTTGTAGGCAAACATTGCAGCTTCAAATCTTAAAGCAGAGACAGAGGGAAGTCTGCAAACTGAGAGCTCAGGGGCAAAGCTGGCACTGCAAACAAACACCATCTCACAAAGAAATCCAGATCAGTTTCAGAGAATGAGTTTAGATAAATTACGATTCAAGGTAAAAGATTCTGTTATATCCAAAGTTTGTTCTTCAAACATAGATAGTACGCAGTACTTTGCACCCGTAAAGTTTTTCCAAACTACAGCATGATCACTTTGCTCAGTCACGAGCGAGCAACTATTGAATGCAAATAAATCAACAGCAATAAGGAAATCGCTAAAACAAATTGAAAATTAGACTCCGCTCAATTTCAATCTTTTTTTTAACAAGTTTGCAAAATCAGGAAACAAAACTCTGAATCTGTAAATGCAGAAATTAAAAATGTCCGATATTGTGGTACAAAATGACCTGACAGACAGATTATTTTCACATCAACCCAGGAAGAGGCTGAATGGAGTATGTGGAATGCACTACCCCCAGATGGCCAAAGAAGCAACATTAATTGGGATGAATAGAAAGTAAAGAGATCAAGGATTATGGAAAAACAACAGTGCCCTTCACATGGCGTAGCATCTTGAAACGCTGAACAATGGCATGGTTTGAAAAGTCAAATGAGAAAAAAAAGGAAAATGGGATTAAAAAAATACTTGCAGTTGATATAATGCCTTATCACGTCTTCGAGGTGTCTCAAAGCGCTTCACAGAACATACTGCAAAGCGAATTGACTGTATATTTGGTGGGCGAAACGCGGCAGCCAATTGTGCACAGCAGCGTCCCACAAACAGTCATAACGTGGATGAAATGGTAATCTATTTTTTTGCTCAACAGTCTTTTGATCCATTTAATGAAAGAACAGCTTCAATAGAAAGCAGTTAAAACATTCAGCCCAAGCTGTTGGCAAAGTTTCGTCTTTCATTGAGGGACCAACGCAAACTGTTCTGAGCTAGCTGTTGATCTAATAAAATGACAGAACTGGTTTGTTGGGATTAAATCGCTCACTCCTATGGACCAGATCAAGATGAGCGGTTAACGTACAAGCTTTCAGAAAACAATTAATATCATAAATCGTCTGGCGAACCTGGTGTGGGAGAGATCATGAGCTGTGGAGTACTAAATGAGCTGGAGTGGGAGGGGAAAGTGAACCTGGGGTGGGTGGCTGATGAGGAAGGGTTTGCCAAAGTTTATCCTCAAGGTAATTTCAACGGAAGGTGAAGTAATAATAATAATAATAATAATAATAATAATCCTTGCATTTGATATAGCGCTTTTCACGTCGGGAGGACGTCCCAAAGCGCTTCACAGAACACACTGTAAAGTGAATTGACTGTATATTTGTGGGCGAACGCGGCAGCCAATTGCGCACAGCAATGTCCCACAAACAGTCGTGGATTGAAAATGACCAATTTATTATTGTTTTTTGGTTTTGGAGGGATTATTATTAGGCTCTGTGTGGAGTAAGGAAACTTGCCCAAGGTTTCGCCCTCTGCCTGGAAAGTAAAGGGCGCAATGCGCCGCCCGAGTTCAGCTGTTGGATATCGGAATTATTTTCGAGCGTACAAAGCCAGTGACCCGAGACGGCAGACTGAGGAAAACGAAACTGAAACCCTGAACGTTTACAAAACATAACATCCAGATCCCAGCAAAGGGCCACGTAACAGTGCACGAACAACAACGGCACAATCCTCGCGATTCGAAACGGCGCCTCGTCGCATCCCTCCAGACAAAACTATCCCTTTTAAAAAAAAACACACACACACAACGGTAATTTGGTCTCTCAGTCCGCGGGTGTTTTGCGGTTCGGACGCTGCTGCGGGCAACTGGCTGCTGGCGCTTCACCCACACAACGTGCAGTCACTACACTTTACAGTATATCCCGTGAAGCGCTTTTGAGACGTCTCGAGGCCGTGATCAGGCGCGACAGCAGATGCAATGGCTATTATTATTATTATTAATATTAATGCTGTTATTAACTGCTATACTTTAGTTGGAGGCTGAGTAACTGAGTCCAGGCGACACGCACTGACTGCACTGCTCTGTCCCTGCCCGGCCCCAGGGCCCGGACCGCCGGCCACAGCCTCTACTGCCACCCGGGGATCACAGCCCGAGCCCGGGCACAGCCCCCAACCGACAACCCCGGCCCGGCCCTGCTCACCTCCCTCAGGCTGCTCTCCAGCCCAACCGCAGCCGCGGCCGCTGTCATGATCGCCTCCAACCCGTACCGACTCCCAGGAGAGGCCTCACCCATAGCTCCGGCCCAGCCCCGCCCACAGCTCCGGCCCCGCCCACAGCCTCGGCCCCGCCCACAGCTCCGGCCCCGCCCACAGCCCCGGCCACGCCCACAGCCCCGGCCCAGCCCCGCCCACAGCCCAGCCCCGCCCACAGCCCCGGCCCAGCCCCGCCCACAGCCCCGGCCCCGCCCCGCCCACAGCCCCGGCCCAGCCCCGCCCACAGCCCCGGCCCAGCCCCGCCCACAGCCCCGGCCCAGCCCCGCCCACAGCCCCGGCCTCACCCATAGCCCCGCCCACAGCCCCGGCCACAGCCCATAGCCCCGGCCCAGCCCCGCCCACAGCCCCGGCCTCACCCATAGCCCCGCCACAGCCCCGCCCAGCCCATAGCCCCGCCCAGCCCCGGCCCCCCCCCACCCACAGCCCCACCCCGCCCCGCCCACAGCCCCGGCCAGCCCCGCCCACAGCCCCGGCCCACCCCGCCCCCCCCCCCAGCCCCGCCCACAGCCCCCGCCCACCCAGCCCCGCCCACAGCCCCGGCCCAGCCCATAGCCCGGCCCAGCCCCGCCCACAGCCCCGGCCTCACCCATAGCCCCGCCCACAGCCCCGGCCCAGCCCATAGCCCCGGCCCAGCCCCGGCCCCCGCCCCACCCACAGCCCCGACCCCGCCCCGCCCACAGCCCCGGCTCAGCCCCGCCCACAGCCCCGGCCCAGCCCCGCCCACAGCCCGGCCCAGCCCCGCCCACAGCCCCGGCCCACCCAAGCCCCGCCCACAGCCCCGGCCCAGCCCCGCCCACAGCCCCGGCCCCGCCCGCCCACAGCCCCGGCCCAGCCCCGCCCACAGCCCCGGCCCAGCCCCGCCCACAGCCCCGGCCCAGCCCCGCCCACAGCCCCGGCCCACCCATAGCCCCGGCCCAGCCCATAGCCCCGGCCCAGCCCCGCCCACAGCCCCGGCCTCACCCATAGCCCCGCCCACAGCCCCGGCCCAGCCCCCGCCCACAGCCCCGGCCCAGCCCATAGCCCCGCCCAGCCCCGCCCACAGCCCCGGCCCCCCCACAGCCCCGACCCCGCCCACAGCCCCGCCCACAGCCCCGGCCCCGCCCACAGCCCCGGCCCAGCCCCCGCCCACAGCCCCGGCCCAGCCCCGCCCACAGCCCCGGCCCAGCCCCGCCCACAGCCCCGGCCCAGCCCCGCCCACAGCCCCGGCCCCCCACAGCCCCGACCCCCCCACAGCCCCGGCCCAGCCCCGCCCACAGCCCCGGCCCCACCCACAGCCCCGACCCCGCCCACAGCCCCGCCCACAGCCCCGGCCCCGCCCACAGCCCCGGCCCCGCCCCGCCCACAGCCCCGGCCCAGCCCCGCCCACAGCCCCGGCCCCACCCACAGCCCCGACCCCGCCCACAGCCCCGCCCACAGCCCCGGCCCCGCCCACAGCCCCGGCCCAGCCCCGCCCACAGCCCTGGCTCAGCCCCGGCCCAGCCCCCGCCCACAGCCCCGGCTCAGCCCCGGCCCCGCCCACAGCCCCGGCCCAGCCCCCGCCCACAGCCCCGGCCCCGCCCACAGCCCCGGCCCAGCCCCCGCCCACAGCCCCGGCTCAGCCCCGGCCCCACCCACAGCCCCGACCCCGCCCACAGCCCCGGCTCAGCCCCGCCCACAGCCCCGCCCACAGCCCCGCCCACAGCCCCGCCCACAGCCCGGCCCAGCCCCGCCCACAGCCCCGGCCCCGCCCACAGCCCCGCCTCAGCCCCGCCCACAGCCCCGGCTCAGCCCCGCCCACAGCCCCGGCTCAGCCCCGCCCACAGCTGCAGGATAGCGCCCCAGAGCGCTCGGCAGAGCGGAGCGGGACACCCAGCCGGGGGGCGGGGACTGTAAACGGGGCCGAAGTGGAAGGCCTGCGAGCGCGACCTGAAGATAATAATCATAATAATCCTTGTATTTGATACAGCGCCTGATCACGTCTTCGAGACATCTCGAAGCGCTTCACAGGATACACTGATAAGTGCATTGACTGCATATTTGTGGGCGAAACACGGCAGCCAATTGCGCACAGCGACGTCCCACAAACAGTCGTGGATTGAAGTGACCAATTTATTATTTTTTTTGAAGGAATTATTACCCCCAGAAAAGTGATCCGCCAATCAACCAACAACCAGGTTCCTATTTGCTCCAGGTAAACAGAGGCGTGTGGAGTAAGGAAATTTACCCAAAGTTTTGCTCTGCTGGGAATCAAACCCAGATCTCCTGCTCGCGAGGCCAGCGCTCTAACCACTGAGCTACAGCACTCCACATGGAGAAGGGTGGAGGGGTAGATTATTCCAGAGTATCGGGGAGTAGGGGCTGAAAGTGCAGCCAATGGTGGGGGGACGGAGGGCACGAGGGACGTGCGGGAGGCCTGAGTCAGTCGAGTGGAGGCAGAGGGCTGTGGGTTGGGGGGTAAGCAAGTCGGAGAGGTAGGGAAATGTTAGGGCACGAAGGGACATGAAAACGAGTGTGAGGAACTTGAAATCAATCCATCCGGCGATAGGGCGCCAATGGAGCCTGGCGAGAACTGATGTGATGTGGGTATGGAGTTTAGTGCGAGTGAGTATGCGGGAGGCACAGTTTGGGATTAGCTGGATTGAGCTGGGGAGACTGGCAAAGAGGGCATTTGAGAAGTCGAGTTGGGAGATGAGGAACCCATGTTTCGGATGCGTCTGGGGTACAGTTGGAGGTGGGCAATGTGGTGGAGGTGGAGGAAGGTGGTCCTGGTCAGGAACCGGATGTGGTGAAGGAAGGACAACTGTGGGTCGAACCTGACCGCTAGGTCGCGCACCGGTTCAGTGAGTCTGAGGGATTAGCCGGGGAGGTTGAGGAGGTCAGAGCCACAGGACAGAATACATTGATGGGAGCCAAGGAGTATGGCTTCTGTCTTGTCAATAGGTTTGCGCTCATTTAGGCCCTGATGTCTGCCAGAAAAGTTCAGGAACATCGACAGACCTGGAGTCGCAGCTGGAGGAGGAGAAGTAGATTTGTGTGTCAGTCGCATACTTGTGGAAGTTTACCCGTGTCTGCGGATGACATCGCCCATAGGGAGCATATAAATGAAGAAGAGGAGGGAACCAAGGATGAAGCCCTCGGGTTCGCCACAAGTAAGCAAGCGGGGGTGGGAGAAGAAACCATTTGAAGAGACAGAATGAAGGTAGTTTATTAGGTTGGACTCAAACCAGGATAGGGCGGTCCCCCAAGGTGAATGAGTATGGCGTCGTCAACTGTGTCGAATGTGACAGAGAGGTCCAGGAGGATGAGGAGGCAGAGGGAGCCCTGGTCACACAGAGAATGGCGTCGTTTGTGATCTTGACAAGCGCCGTCTCTGTGCTATGGACAGATTGGAGGTGCTCCCAGGAGCAAGTGGAGGGAGAGGTGAGAGCAAAGCTGGTTAGCGACAACGCGTTCCAGAACTTTTTCAAGGATGGGCAGGTTAGAAATGGGACGGTAATTTGTAAAGTTGGAGGGGTTAATGGCGTTTTTTTTGAGGAAGGGAAAGATGACAGCGGTTTTAAGGGGGAGAGGAACAGAACCCGAGGAGAGCAACTGGTTGATGGTGTCAGCCAGCAGCAAGGAGAAGAAGGGGAGTTGGGTGACCAGCAACTGGGTGGGGAGCAGGTGGTGGGCCTCATCTGGGAAATGGGGGTTGAGAGGCAAGGGGAATAACCTCTTCACACTTCGTGTTGGAAGTAAGGATGGAGGCAGGTTGGTGGGGTGAGCAGAGGAGGTGATGGATGATGGAGAACAGTGACTTGGGTTGTTTTTGGCCTCCAAAATGGAGTAAAAGTCCTGTAAAAGTCCTGTAATAGACCTGGAGTCCTGTAACTCAGAGGTTAGAGCACTCGGCTCGCAGGCAAGAGACCTGGGTTAGAATCCCGGTAGGGCGAAACCTTGGGCAAGTTTCCTTACTCCACATACCTGATAATAATCCCTCAAGAAGAAGAACAATAATAAATTGGTCACTTCAATCCACGACTGTTTGTAGGACACTGCTGTGTGCGATTGGCTGCCCGCATTTCGCCCACAAATATACGGTCAATTCACTTTGAGACGTCTAGAAGTCTAACTAACTCACTCATTGGTTTTATATTCCATTCAGTTCATTTTACAACCTTCACAATGGCTTCTTGTGTTATCCAGCTCTTTTTCAGAATTCCGATAAATATTTTGAGGTACAATACAGTTTTATTATGTAACAAAATGTGGTGTGGTGTGGGTATCAAATTAAAATATTCTTTTCTAAAATTGATACGGTAACTCGTTTTAAAAGATATATGTCTGATTTAATTGTTATTTCATTTTTAGCCGCTTGGTGTCAGTAGAAGGCCATGGGATCCGCACGCCCTTGGATTCTTTGTACAATGCTGGGATTATACATAAATTAATACAATACAATTTACACTTGTATACCCCCCTTCACATTGGGCGGACGTCCCAAGGTGCTGGACAGTCAGGGATTTGGACCAGAGCTGGGGGTCAAGATCGGGGAGGGTGGAGGGCAGAGAGGGTGGTCGAAGGCTCGGTCAAAGAGGTTGGTGTTGAGACGCGCCTTGAAGGAGGCAAGGGAGGGAGTGAGGCGAAGGGAATGTGGGATGGAGTTCCACAGGGTGGGGGCAGAAAGGCTGAAGGCCCAACCGCCGATGGTGGTGCGGACCGGGCAGGTGATGTGGAGCAGGACAGAGCTGCTGAGCGGAGGTAGCAGACGGGTTGATATGGGCTCAGCAGGTCGCAGAAGTAGGGAGGGTCAAAGCTACAGAGGGCCTTCAAGGCGAGGATGAGGATTTTGAACTCTACCCTCTGTGAGATGGGGAGCCAGTGGAGCCGGCGAGAGTGGGGGTGATGGGGTCACAGAGCCTGGTGCGGGAGAAGACACGAGCTGCTAATTCTGGATGATCTGCAGCTTGTGGAGGGAAAAGTTGGGGAGGCCGACAAGCAGGGAGCTATTGTAGTCGAGCTTAGATGTGATGTATTCGTGGATGAGGATTTCAGCGGCCTCAGGGGTGAGGCAGTGGCGGAGCCAGGC